CCGGCGAGTTTATACTGAAGCGGTTCGTTTAAATAACAACGACGCCTTGGAAGCGGCAGTGTGGGATGTTTTTCATGCTAAGTTCTCGGTCCTGAGCGCTGACTGTTACCCGATTCTGATGGACTGGTTAGCGAAATGCGGAGAAGAGGAGGACCAATTTATTTGCAAGGTTAGGCAAAATTGACTGCTGCTGTGTGCTGTCATTTGCGGTTTTCTGTAGCGCACACTTCTCCTCTCATCGTAATCTAACGTTCCCTGAAATGTCGCATAAATACCAAATAAAACTGTCAAAGATTTATTAAGAAAAGAAGATTTCTCTTGCAGATGTTGTGCGCTACCCAGACCGCGGATCCGTGTCCTACTTCGCATTACCGCGGCAAGAAATGGTGCGTGGACGGCCTGAAAAACCTGCAACTGGACAAGTTGAATCGCATAGCGCTGCAGTTCCTATGGAGTGTGCGGTCGCAGGACGTACCATTTAGGACGAACGAACGGTCTTAATACGTCGTGCATTCAGTCCAGTGTGCATACTTCATACTTGGTTGGTCGTATGCATTAATTAAGCTGCGTCGGCGGCTTAGCCGACGAGCAGAGTAGATTTTCCCCCTTTTTCAAAATGTCGCTTTTAGCTCATGACTGTTAGCTCTGTTGATAGTTCTGCTGCAGTAATATTTGTTTTGCCCAGGTCGGGGCATTCTGTTTATATGGTTAACCACTTAGCTTTTATTTTTTGTCGGGGTAAAGATATAATGGGAAAACTGTTGTTCCTAAATTGTTTCCAACCAATTGCGTTCCCGCTTGTCGTATCTGTAACTTTTAGTGTAATATAATTATTATAAACACGAGATACGGATACAATGTAGGACGAAATGGTCGCATAGCCCCATACCCAGCATTCTGTACGCATGCGGTGAAGTGCACTTGTACGAACCGGATATTTTGAACTTAGCCGTACAGTGGTACTGAATGTGGAGATGTTGGGTATGCGACCATTTTGTCCTAAGCTGTACGTGCTGAAGCAGGGCAAAAGATATAGGTAGCCCGCACCGGCGAACACAATCCCGCAAGGCAGACCTCGTTTTCACGCTACGCTACGTTCTTCGCAGTTTATCGCAAATCGCAATTTACTTATTTTGTACATCAATTACTTACTGCTACACAGCAATTTCGAGATTGAAATATTTTTTTGCGGATGATAGCATTGCTCACTGCGGTGTGAAGACAAAAGCAGCAGCTGCTAAGAAGCTCAACGATGCGCTGGTGACGGCAGCAAAGTGGCTTGAAGAAAACAGACTGGCAGTAAATGTGAAAATGTGCGCGGTCATGTTTATTTGTACCGAACAGAAAATCAAGGGAAGAAATCGACCCGCTGATCACGTTGAACGGTTAGACATTGACTGTAGCGCAGCACACACAACGGACCACAACGGGTCGTGGGCGCGTCGATATTTTCAAGTGGCGCCAGTGGCAGCGGCCGTGGTCCTAACAAGACCGATGCAATATGGCCACCGATGCAATATGGCCACCCAGTTCTGACGTACGGCGCTTTTAATTAGCAGCTAGTCGCCAGGTTTAACTCACTGGTGTAAGTAATTTTTTCATGTTGATGTTTAGCGCCTTTTAATTTCCTTTGCTGCCCATTTGCCGAATCAGTCTTGAACTGTAATTACTGGATGCATATCGCGGTTCCCGACGTTCTGCATTGTGTTTCAACCGTTTGTTTGGAATAAAGCCGTGGAAAGTTTTCTAGATTATTCCTCGGTATTATCAGCTTGACGGAAACTCCTCATCAACCGCCGACCATGTCTGAACCCATTCGCCAAGCCAACAGCGTCGATATCCTGCGTTACGACGGGCTGTTTCGGCACGGCCGTGTGGCGGACCTAGATTCCAGCGGGCTCTATATCGACTTCCTCAATCCCAAAAGGCAGACCAAGTTGGTCGCTTACGACCGCATCTACCAGCCGTGTTCGTGTTTAAGTTTAACGTATCCTCTGCGTACGACGTATTTCAGCGTTAAATTTTCTCTGCCTACTGCAACCGTTCCTGTGGAGGTGCTGATGCGTGAAACCCCGTCCGATCCCTGGATCTGGTTCCCGGGTGAAGTGGTTCACATGTCCTGTAGCACGGAAGGATTTGCCGTCGTCGTCCAGTGGGGGAACACGCTCAGTACAACGGCTGTCGTGCCCGGCTACCGTGTTCGCTATAGCGTGCCAGTTTCGTGGTACGCCAGTCATAATGAATCTCTTCCGGCACATCTCGAACCCCGAGATGGCTCCTCTGGTCGCTCCTACTGGACACATGAACCGGAGCGCGTTGCACCGGGGATGTTTGTGAAGCTTGGTGTGCCGTTGCCGGTGAACGGGCGCCCGATACCGCCTGATCAACTGCTGAAAGAGTTGAGCAACCACACTCGGATGCTGTCGTTTATCGGCGTGGATCATGGATGTCTGTGGTACATTGGCGAGGGGTCGTGCATCCGCTCCGCAGAGATGGTAAGAGTAATCACGATTCCGGTACTGAACGTTTTATGACAGTGTTCCCTTTCCGCCAGTATTCTTACTGATTTAATCGCAACCTACGTAGTGATTCTTCCCATACGCATGTGGCAGGCAGTCATGCGGCACGGGTGCACCGTGCACAAATCGTTTTTCTGGATGCACACTGAAATATTCGGGTGCCTAATTGAGTAGTTGTGCACATTTAGACATATTGCATTCCTATGAATACTTGGAGTAGTCTGATTTTTCGTTTTGGCGGTTACCAAAAACAGCGTCATACTGTAATACTTTGGCGTTTTTTGCATTCGGGACACTTTCACGGTATGGAATAACATACCGGACAAGGTATTCTCAGCGAGCTCATACTGTGAAAATGTCTGATAGGCTGAAACTCCGAAGTACCAAAACTGCGTTTTCTTGTTCCACTTCTTTAGAACTGATTTTATTAGCATTGCCGTCTCAGTGGACTGGTCAAAGATCTTCCCCGTATCATCCACGAGCTCGCAAAGTCGAGCTACAAAGAGTGGCCCGTGGAAGACTGCAGTTGGCTCCCGGTGGAGTTGTGGTTGGAGGTATTCTCCCACATGGAAACGCTGGAGCAGATCAAACTGCGCGGTGTCTGCGCAGCATGGAACGCTTTTCTGGATTCACCTTTGCTGACGAAGAACATCCTTATCCTTATGGTCGATTCGGAATCCGTTGATGATCAGTCCGATTACCGGCTGGCAGCGACCCTCTCTAACTGTCTGAGCACCTCGACGCGGACAGTTGTTATAGCGGTTCGCCCTAGCGCAGAACCGTCGTGTTGGACCATGATGCTGCGCGTGCTGGACCTCGTGGAGTATGTGGCGCGACCGAAAGGACTCCGGCTGCCGGTTCTCTGTTTGGTAGGCATACGTCAAACTCTAGATTTCGACCTGGAGAACTGGCACAATTGTGCGCTGCACAACCAAACCAGGAAGCCCATTCAGAGCGCGCTGCAGTACGTATTGGGCAAATTTTTGCTGTTGGACTTCCCTGGATTCTGTCGCCGTGTTCCCTGTGATGCCATCCGGTTGGCTGGCTGCACACTGCGCCTGTGCTATGGCTCAACGTATGAGTGGGATTATTTTTATGATGCCTGTGATTCTTGGGACGTCGGTGTTGACGCGGTTCGCTTTGGGAACACGGGCGGCCTGGAGGATGCCGTGTGGAATGTGTTGGACGGTAACTTCCCTGTACTGAACGCTGACTGCCTCCGGATTTTGGCGGACTGGTTGACAAAGAGCGGAGCAAGCCAAGACAAATTCATCCGCGAGGTCTGACACAGTCGGTGACCGTCTTCTGTTGTTCTAAATTCTTCTTTCCTCGTAATGTTTCGCATTTCTGTCGCAGGATAACGATTAACAGTGCCGAAGATTCGCTAGAAACATAATGATAAAGTTTCTTTTGCAGTTGTTGTGTGCCACGCAGACCGCGGATCCGCGTTCAGCATCGCATTACCGCGATAAGAAGTGGTGCGTGGACGGTCTTCAAAACGTGCGACTGGACAAGTTGACTCGCATTGCGCTGCATTTCCTATGGAGTTTGCGGGCGTCGAAATGGCCATGCTTTCGAAATGGCTTTGATTAGTGCATATGCAGCATTCTGCTATGAGTGCATACTTGCCCCAGCTTGCATACCGCTATGGCTTGTGATTTTATTAGCCATTTTAGTAATTCTGCTACAATAAATACTTTTCCCAGCGTAATATATTGCGGTCCGGTTGTGTTAGTTGCTCTTTTCTTCGTCTGGATGAAGCGATGTACTTGCCTTCTTCCCAGCTACACTGTATTTCTGTCTTTTTTTTACGCTTGCTGTTATTTCTAGTAAAGATTAAGAAAGCATTATCAGTCTGTCTCATGTGGAACAACGCGCGGTGTCCGAATCCAAATTGTGAGAATGTCCGGGATGCGAACAACGCCTACCCGGACAACTGCCGCACGCTGAGAGCGTGACAGCTCGCCCCATTTCGGGTTGGACGGTAAAAGCTTGAAGACTTTTTCACTTTGCGACATTTTGCCGCAGTACGTCTGGCTGCGGGGCAACTCGTCTTGGGCTTCTCGATTCATGCGATCAGTCGCCGGAAAACAATTCCGAATAAACATACAAACAACTGGGCCCGCTAGGTTTTCAAAGTGTTTTAGATTTGTGCAAAATTTTTTTTTAGTTCTGCAAAAATCTAAGGAATCTATACTTCCTTAGATTTCTTGAGCTTCTTAGATTTCAAAGGTTGTAAGGTTTTCTAATGCTTTTTTCATGTTGTCTTATTTTTTGCACGTTTTCATATGTTTTCTAATGCTTTCTGAACTAATCTATTAAGGGAAGTGACCCGGTACATGGTACCAAATTCGTGTACATGTACGAAAGCTTTCAATTTCGCGCACCCATACACGTTTTTGTTTCGCTATTATGCCATTCTGTAGTCAGATGATTTGTATACACCGGCGTGAAAACCGTTTGTGCGCGCAACATCCGGTTCGGGAGTTATGGCAGTAAGAAACTTCCAAAAGTTTAAATGCATTCAGGTGTACCAAAAGTCTCATTATGGACCGATCTCCTTCAAATTTTGCACGTAAATGCACCTGGCCATGAAGATCGTTTTTACACCGATACAGACTTCCACGATTTTTTTGAAATTTTAAAATGAATTTTAAAATTTTTAAAATTCATTTTACATTTAAAAATCAAAAGACGAAATCTCGTTGACATCCATGCAACTGCATGCTGAGCACAAAAATAACAGGCAAAAAAAGCATAAAAGAAACAAGATTACAAACTTACAACTGCCGGCGATGCAACGCAAAGGGGAAACATGCATTCATCCCAGGGAAAACCTTTCTTCAACAAATAACTGCACCACACAAACGTGCCACAATAATCTAAACGTAAAAGTCGCATTCAGCATGCAATAACTTATAACAGTATAAAGATTTTATAATAACGATATTTACAGTTTACAAACAAACAAACTAGCTGGAGATCCAAGCAGGCAGAAAAATGTCAGCGTGCTGTGATCCAGCGATCATCCACCGGTCCACTGTAAAAAAATTGAAAATAAATATAAATAGTGAAATTAATAAATTAATTAAATAAAAATTATTTTAATGCTGCTAAACTGACAATAATGGATGGATAGCAGATTGATAATTACGATAACATCATGTATTTATTTTATTAATTTAATTTATTTATTTATGATAATATTATTTTATTAATTTATTTTATAATAGTATATTTTCCAGATTTATTTATTGATAAGTATTTATTTCGTTGATTTATGTATAATTTCATTTAGATTTTACCGGTGTTAATATACATTAAATTTTAAAATTAATTAATTTTATCAGCTAACTATTCGACATGCGGAAATTAGGCCGTTATTTACCTGCAGCGTGTTGAGTTTGGGATTGCGCTGCACCAGCGCCAACTCCTGCGCTTCCCGCTCGCCGAAACGCGCAGCCTGCTGCACGGCCGTGGAACGGCTGGCGTGGTCGCCCACATGGCCGGCGACGTCTGCAATTTATCAACATCCAAAAGTATACACAAATCAATATGCCTGGATTGTTCGAGCAATGCTCTACCGGCATAAAATCATAAAACGAACGAAAGTGCTATGCGCCCGGAATTTTTCCGGGCGCATAGAAACTAAAATAAAATTTAAAAAAAAAATTTAAAATTAAAATAAAATTTAAAAAACAAAAAAATTAAATTTAAATTTAAAATTAAATTAAATTAAATTTAATTTAATTAAATTAAATTTAATTAAATTAAATTTAATTAAATTAAATTTAAAACTAAAATAAAATTTAAAAAACAGCAAAATAAAAACAAAGAACATAATAAACAAAAAAAATATTAAAAACAACAGATTTCTATTCTATATTTTCTATAAATGCTGCTGCTTTCAACGCCAGTAAATAATTTCACAAAAGCGAAACAGCTCAAAAAAACAGTTATTGTAAAGGGGTATAAATTTTGTCCAATTTGGAAAGCTACATCTGTTTCTACTCATTTGCAGCAGTAAACAACCGCAGTGCGAAAAAATCTTTTTTTACATTTTTCCTCAAAATTGTGTCACTATTTTTTTCCAGCAGAAAATAATTTCACAAAATCCACAAATCAGAAATTTTTTCCCACACGTGTGGAAGTTGCCTTCTTAATGCTAAATAATTCTAATTTGCAGTCGTTTATATTTTTAGAGTTTTCCCCGAGCGAAAGAATCTTATATTAACATTTTTCTACACGTTCTGTGGCTATTTTATTCGGGGGTTTTTTCCACTAGAAACATGCAGTGCGAGATACACGCGTCAACTGACCGGAAATGAGTTTGAGGGCGTTGATGCTGAGCTGCGGCGCGGGGATTTTGTCGGCCAGATCGGCGGCGGCCTTAGCCGCTTTGAAGGCGTTATCCCACTGCGCCAGGGCGGCGCAGTTGCGGGCCAGCAGCATGAGACTGTTGGCCATCATCTGGTTGAGATCCTCCGCGTTGCTCAGCTGCAGAGCGCGCTGCAACAGCACCTGTCCGTCCGCGAAACGGCTCTGCAAGACGGCCGTCCACTTTAACATTTATGCACAATTTACACCACCTTTATTCGGGATTTTCAAACGTTTAAATTACCAGCATTTACGGCGTCATTGTTAATTTTCTACTCATTTAGAAAGCGTCTGCTCTAGTTAAAAATAATAAATGGATAATTAAATACCGGTAAGTGCCAATATAAATAATGATTGTTTAAAGTGATCATTGTTTAAAAAAACCTTGAATATCATTCGTGATGAATTTATTTTAAAACCGATTTGTTTACTCTAATGGTTTTTTCATAAAAGGTCTAGCACAACACAGTTTATTATTTTCATTTCTTAACGATTAAATTGCCAGTTATTCCGCAAGTGAAATATAACTGTCCCAATTAAACACTGGTATTATTATGTGAAAATAAATTCTCAAATATTCCGAATACAGATAGTCATTAAAAAATTAATTATGACTGAATCATAATGAATTAACTGCTTGTATAATAATTGATAAATATTTCAGAAATAAAAAAAAATTATGGGGAAGGCTCCGCACACCACGTTTCACCACTAAAATCTCCGCACACCACGAAACACCACCGCCAGGCTCCGCACACCACTTTTTATCATTTTTGAATTTTTTAGAAAAAGCCACCGAAATCTCCGGACACCACCAAGGGCAGAGTGCACACCACCAGAGTCTCTGCACACCACTATTTTGAAAGAAAATTAAGCAATTGTTATTACCGGCGGAAAAAAAAACAGCTCTTTCGTCTCGCGGTCTGGCTCCTCTTTTTTGGTACCACTCGTCAGCCTCCGCTTCCGTTATAGTAAGCGATTTTTTCGGTTTTATTCGCTTGGCTACCCTGCCAGGACGGTGTTTAAGTTTTTGCACACGCTTAGCTACGAATGATGTTATTACCCACTCCCTCACGGTTTTTCCAGAAAAGGTACTCTCCTGTCGGTCAATTCCATTGAGCAGCTCGTGCGCAAACGGTAAAGCGTAAAGGGCACAATCGATTCCGTTTCCTTGGTTTTGGACAGCCTTATGGCTAACGGTAATCTGCTTTTCCGGCGGTGACTTCCCATAAAGCAGCCATATTTGTCCTTTAGTACGCCGATATTAGGCGTATATACGACCGACTACTGCATATCTTCGAAACTAAGAGCAAAATGTGGTGTCCCGAGACTATCGACGTTTCAAATATATATAGTGGTGGCGTAAAAATGGTGACCCGAGTCCCCCGAGACAAAACGTGGTGCGAATAGTGGTGTGCGCCGCCTGGTGGTGGTGAAAGGTGGTGTGCGGAGACTTTGGTGGTAAAACGTGGTGCGCGCAGCTTTCTCCAAAAATTATTTGGGCATTTGGCTTACCTCGGCGAGGGCCTTGAGCGCCTGGACGATGAAGGCCGAACAGCGCAGTCCCACATGATCCGGCGCCTGGTCGGGCAGGGAGCGTTGCGCGGCGTTGAGGAGGTCCAGCCAGCGCTGCTGCTTGTAATACAGCAGCGCCTGGTTGGCCGTCAGCAGTGCCAACATTTCCGGACTCTGGCACCACCTGACCCAGAGCAACACACCGATTAATTGATCAATTTATATTCAATTAAACATAATAATAAATTTCAAATAGTTTAAAATTTATAATAATAATTATAAGTTATAAAAATAATTTAATTTATGTATATTAAATATAAATATTTATTTTATTTATTTATTTAACTTTTTTAATTTATTTTAATGTATAATTTATATTTATAATTTTATAATTTAATTATTAATTTTATAATTTTTTAATAATTTCATAATAACCAATTAAAATGGCTCATTAAATTGCTGCGCTACATATAATTCATTTTTTAAAAAAATCACAAATTTATCGGAAATAATTTCTGTAGTTCCACTAGTCATTTACGATGCGGATCTAACCAGACACCACACAACGGAGATTAATTACCGAATTTACTCATCTATAAATTTATTATCCATCATTTACTTTTTCTTAACCGGCTATTAATACAGTTACCACAATTATTAATTCATCAACCATAATTTGGCTGTTTTTAATGTTTAGAATTTAATTATTTTTCACCAAAGTCCACCCGTAATTTACAAATGATGCATTTCTTTTTATTTATATTTTTACTTATTTATGATGCATTTATTTTTATACAATTTCTTCCTAATCGCAATTTTATTATTTTTAAAAACAATGTTATCGGTTTAGTTGTATTATGATCCGCGATGCACGTACCGATAAGCGTAGCCGAACTGCGATTCGGCCACCTCGTTGTAGCCGAACTGCAGTGCACATAAGCCCAGCAGCGTGTGCAGCTGGCAGCGCCGCGGACGCATCAACGTGGAATCTTTGCAGCTGCAAAAACAAGCCAAAAATATCAACAAAATTTATTAAAAAATTAAAACCGATTTTTGCAAATAACTGATTTTCCAAAACATAAAAATATTAAATAAATGACATACCGTTTTTCCTCAAAATATAATCCAAAGCAAAAAAATCGTAAAACATATTTTCAATACGAAAACCGTTTTTCTTCAAATAAGCAATCCAAATCAATAAAAAAACGATTCCAAAATAATACGAAAAAAGTGAAAATTTAAAAACATAAAAAAACAATTCGAGAAAATAATAATAATAAAAAAATCATTTTTTCTAGGAAGTCCCAAACAAACAGATTCCAGGAAAAAATTATAAAACGTAAACGTTTTCTCGAATAATTTTAAACAGCCAACAACGCAGCCAGTTTGCAACTTTGCAGTCATCACCATAAGAAAATCAAATTTTTACTACATACGGTACATAAAAATTAAGCAAACATGAAAATTGATAAAATCGAAAATAAGAAACGGAAAAATAAAAAGAATATAAATAAAAATAAATTACACATGCGAATAATCGCGCAAAAATCAGTCCTAACCAGAGCGTGATGTAGTCGCTGATCTGTTCCAGGGCCTGGTTGAAGCGGCCGGTGCTGAGACTGGTGGGGATGGCGTGCTGGTACATGACGCAGCGCAGTTCATCGCGCAGTGCACCGTGCTCCGTTCCCACGAGGCCGTCGAAGAAGGATTTGCAGCGGTGCACCAACCGGTCCAGTTTGTCATGGTAGCCCACCAGCGCGAAGAACTGCGCGGAAACTGTAAGCATCACAGACGGGCAATTAACCACTAGGCATTCCGTAAAAAAATAATTTTATTTTCAGTTATTTATTTATTTCCGTTTAATTCTACATACATTTATCAATTTTATTTTCAATTTCCTATCAAAATTTTATTTTCAATTTATAACTTTATTTATCGATTATTACTACAAACAACAGCGGCATTACTAAAACGGTATTCCAGAAAAACCTATTTAGGAAAACATAATTGGATTATTTAACTAAAAAATTTAATAAAAAACTTAAATACTTGTGCCGTTGTACATAAATATCAGCATTTACCGAACAGATTTATTGCAAATATTTTCATATTCTGCCAGATCTGCCTTGTTGTTAAAAAACTTGCTAAGAAAATTGTTTCTTTCAATTCTACGATAAATTATTACAAGTCACTGTAAACGTTTTCTACAATCACGTGGTGGCTTATTAATGTTTGATTTTAATTATGAAAAAACGAGAGAAAATAGTTTCTAGCGCAATAATAAAATTAACGGATTTTTTCTGCTGAAAATTGTTTAATAAATTAGATTAATGTTTAAATTAATTAGATTGATTACGGCATCAGTTATTATGAATAAATTACTATGGATTAAATAGACTGATAATTTAAATGAATAAATAAGAAAATATAATAAATAAAAATAATAATAAATGAGAATAAGCGGTAATATATGACCAGCTATTATTATGCAATATATGTGCCGGTATTTACTGGCAAAATGCAGCGCCGGAAACATGGAGCGGGGCGCCAGTGCGAACATCTGCAGGGGATGGTCGGCGGGCGGGGCCTGGGCGGCGTTCTGCGTCAGCTGGTCGAGGGCGGCCTGCAGCGGCGCCACGTAGGGCCGCACGGATTTGGCCTGGCCCATGTTGAGGCGACACAGCGCCTCCAGGGCGATCAGATAGAAGCGCAGTTCATCGCGCAGCCCCACCGACACCTGGGCGGTGGCGGCGTCCAACCGGCTGCCAATATCCGCCAGCGACGTCACCGCGGACTGGTACTGTTTGCCGCGGATGAACACCTACAAATTATTTTATTATAACAGTTTATTATTATTGATCCTATATTTCTTATTAATTATATATTATTTATTATTATGAATATTTGATATTCCGTCCTATTCTATTTAATTATTTTTCCTGTTTCTTACTACTAAAAGTAATAAAAATATTATTTAAAATTTAAAGTAGGAATAATAACTTGTTTTAGATAATTATTATATTTGGTATTCTAGGTATTTAATTTATTTTTCACTATTATTTCCTGTTTCATATTATCAAAATATTCTAGCCTCTAGGTATAATCATAAATTTATTCTTGGTATATTTAATTTGGTATTCTAATAATTTATTTATTTTTCATTATTATTTCCTATTTCAAATTATCAAAATTATTATAAAAATATTTTTAAAATAATAATAAGAATTTGTTTTTGTGTTATAAATATTTGGTATTAAATTTTGGTATTTAATCTGAATCTAGTTAATTATTTTTCGTTATTATTATTTCCTATTTCAAATTAATAAAATTGATATAAATATTTTTAAAATAATGATAATAATTTGTTTTTGATATTATAAGCGTACATGCGCGCGGGCCAGCTGGAAGAGCGTGGTCAGGTAGTCGGCCTGATGGCGGGCGGAGAACGACTCGCCCAGTGTCAAGATCTGAGTGGCCACTGCGAAACAGAATACACAAACAAATTGAACAAAATTCAACAGGGAGTGGCCCGTAAATTAAATTGCCCTCGTCCAACCTGTGTGGTCCTGGCCTTGCACGAAGACGTTCTACAAAACAAGCCAAAATCCTGCTTTAAATCACTGTGGCACCAGACAGATATGCACATGCGAAATTTCGTCTTTTTCAAGAATTGTGGCATTAAGTAAACCTGCAAGTATGTATATGCTACGCAAAAATGCACTCATCAGCAAAATACGAGAAATAACAAAAAGTAAAAACACAAGAAAATACAAATAAATTAACTGACGAAATTTGAATAAAAACTGATATCAATAATAAATTAAAATTAACAAAGCAATACAAATAAATAAAAAGATCAATAAAAACGCGAATAAAATGAAAACAAATAACACAGAAGTACTCGTATAACAGAAAGTGAAAATAAATAAAAACATCAACAAAAATCGCGAACATTAACAATTTATCTAAACAAGCGCGCAAAATTGTCACTGAAATCCAACTAAAAAGTAATTGTGAAAACAACTGATGCGCGATGAATAAATAAAAACGCAAAATATTCAAGAGAAAAATTCGGATAACAAAACCAGCGCGTAATGTACAAAAATAAAAAAAATAAATATTTCAAAGAAAATTACTCCCCTGACAAATATTTCGCAAATGAGAAGATAAGCAGAATCAAAACTCTAAAAATAGCAAAAGCAAATTACACACGTTGCAAAGGAAAATTGCCAGAAATTTCGTGTTTGTTTCTTCACTGACCGCCAGCTGGAAAATAAAATGGCACTGCCAATACGGCGAATGCTGCGACTGCTCGATGGCTGTGTGGAGGATGTCGCGGGCCTGCGCCACATCATCATGCGCCACGTAGTAATCAGCCAGGGCGGAGGACGCGTCCAGACGCGCCTCCTCCAGGGCGCTGCCGTTCTGCGCCTGCACAAATTCATATTAAATTCATTTGTGTAATTTTCCCTTTAAAAAACTGCGTCCTCTTACGTGGAGTCCCATATTCACCTGCAACAAGCCAAAACAATCCCGTTAATAAAAACATGTTAAAGTTCCTTGATTACTGCAATAAAAACGATTAAAAAATCCTAATTAAACACTAATTAAAATTGATCAAAAATGCGAAAAAGATGCAAACAATAGTGAAAGAAATAAATACAAAAAGCATTCAAAATTTCAAATGGTCGATAAAACTGTTGTAAGAAAAAGATCGGATTAAATACTCAATACTTAATATAAGAGTTAAAAACCAATAAAATTAAAGCAGATTAAACGTTTAAAACAATTTTTTCTGGGATTTGCCTAAAACACCCCCGAGGGCGTGCGCCAGGGCGATAACGGTAAGATCTCAGGGGACTCAAAACTCCCGCCTCCCTGAAGCCTTCCCCCACGGGGGCGACCAAACAACAACACGAAAACGATGTCAACGGTCGCCCCAACCCTTGACTAAGCCGCCCACGGAGGGCGGGGGTCAGCAGATTAACCCAGACTCACCGCGCTGTCCAGGTAGTACTTGGCGACGTCCTGGCTGTCGCTGTGGCGCAGCAGCAGCTTCCCGATCTCGCAGTGGATGCGCGCCGACACCACGTGGGGCACGTTGAGCGCCAGGATGGCTACCAGGCAGTGGTAGGCCCCCGCGGGCTCCCCCTGGGAGCGCAGGGACTCGGCCAGCCCCAGCAGCGCCACGTACATCTCGTACTGCTCGGCGCTGCTCCAGGCGGAGGTGGGGTCGGGGGTGGGGGTGGGGTAGTGGGAGGTGGACATTTTCCGGAGGGAACGTGGAGGATACAAAATGAAGATGACAGGATCTGGGAGTTAAAAGTTTTAACTTAAAACTTAAAAGAAGCAGCGATGGTACAAACCGTCAAACAGACTCAAACTCCACATAAAAATAATTAAGCAGCGAGGTCTCACATCGTTGGCCGCAAAATTCACGCTGCTATCGGCGCTGGCATGAAAAGGAACGTTAACATAATTTTAAACACAAAACTGTAACAAACTTTTATTATTTATATTAAATTATCAACGAGACAACGACCAACGTTGACAATGTCAAAATTTTAAATAACATGAAAAATATCATCGAAAAATAATGGAAATGCTGTTCGAGACAGTTTCGAGTGTTGTTACATACAACTTACAACTTGCAAGTGTTCTAAGTAGATGCGCGCCATGGGCGGTCGCCGTGCAATTTATTTTACCGCGAAAACAAGGTTACAAGGGGTATTTCTTTGTCCTTTCGGATGTCTTTTATAAGTTTTATTTAATCCATAATTACATTTACTTCCGCTGGACAAGTAACATCTTTTGTTTTGAGCTTTTTGAGTGACGTCGCTAATTTCTTGCAGATGCCAGCCAAATTGTCGAAATGCGCAAAGCGAAGCCATCGAAAAGTTTCATGCATGAAAACGCGCAAACTTTCATTTTCGCGCTCTTACAAAGCTTTTTTTCATTTTTTTGTGACAATCTGTAACTTATTATTTTGTAATCGGTGTAGACAGACGTGAAAACCGTTCGTACGCGCTGACAGCGCGCGACATTCCGTTCAGCAGTAAGAAACGTACAAAAATTATTGATTTGTTATGAAACAATTATCAAAAGACATACAAAAATAAATAATAAAATCAACCGTTACTGCATTTCCATTGCTCTTTTAGCCCTCAAGTCAGCCAAAATCAAAAAGCGTCTCAACAGGTTCGCCCGGTTCAAACATCAAACAATTAATGAACAAGTAAGAAAACGGGAAATGAGCAAGAACGCGTTGTCCATAGTTAGTCGACCAGCTTGTGCCCTGTTGGCAATTCTATCGCATTAAATGGGAGAGAACTTGGAAGCGGGACAGGCCACTTCAAAGATCAGTTCCGCTTCGGCTAATACGCAGTACATGAGGTACTGAACCATGCGGGACAGCCGGTTAACATCATCCAGCGGCTTCCAAAAAGTGGACTTCCGAGGATCCTTAGCATGCCGGCTGCTGACGACCTGTAAAACGTTACGTTCATTCACTTAACTGTCAACAATAACAGTGCCTGGGAGCAGATACAACCGCGCTACTGGCAATAAGAATTCGCTCCATCAGTAAAAGACAGATTCAGTGCCTTCTTTTTATCTGTCATCTAATAATCTATCTAAGGTATTACAAAAAAGGTTGTGTTCACCGAGTCTAACGACGACCAGAACGTATTTCGTTCACCCTCCACAAGTGCAGTGGATACGAGGTTCTTCTGTTGGTCATCCAGCAGCGGACAGGCTTGTTCGATCATGTCCCACCAGTCAGCGACAGTCAGACGCCGGTCGCTGTTCATCCGGGCAAACGGGATGCGGATAGTAATCAGCAGGCATCCGTCCATAGCAGACAAGAAAATCTTTACGGTTCTTTACGGTTCTTTACGGTTAGCGTACGACAGATCCTCGCCAGGGAGTCAAAGACTGTGTGAATCGTGGTAATGTAATCTTCGAAGGTATCCAGATAATGGACGCAGCTAATATCCTTTACAATCAGATGGCTGGGAAATTTCTCCGCTCCTCCTTGCATGATCTGACGGAGAAACAGTCCATCACACCAGGGCAAGCACTTCAGCCGGGTTGCCTGTCTGATATCCGCAACAGGTGAGCCCACAATGGCGACACTGCGGTTACTCCAACAATGATGCAGGCCGGCCACAGGAATATAAACGTTGTCCGGGGAAGATGAACGTGGGCGATTGGAGTTGCTCTCTGATGGGAACCGAATGTGCAGCAGACTTTTGACGGCCGCCGATGTGAGGAGGTCGTTCCAGGCAGCGCACACGGCCCGCAGCCGGCCCTGAGCAACGGTGCACAGATACTGGAACGTTTCTGTTAGGATTTTCGCGGGCAGACACTGAAGTGCGTCATATACGTCAAGGGCCGACGGTTTTTTCTGCACCGGTGACGCTGAGGAGCCGCTGCAGCACAGCTCTCCCTTCCAGCGTTTTGGCCTGGTCAGGAATTCGTGCCCGCGTCGACGCTTCCTACTGTTGATAGGAGTAGTGCTGGAATTCTCGTCCTCCAAAAGGCGGAGCACGGATTTACTCTGCAAAAGTTATTTGTCCCATTAATTTTGCTCCAAGTAACGCACGGCACAGTCTCGAGGATTTCTTACATAAAACTGCAACATTTCCTCCAACTGCCCGCGTTCCAGTTTCTCTTGTGCACCGTCGGCCAACGACACCCTCGGCGCATGAAGTCGGATGCGGTCGTATGGAACCACGGTGTTGACGTCCCCGCTAAGATAATGGATGGTGACCCAGCCGAACTGACGATAGCACCAGTCATAGACGAGGGCTGTGGCGGGGTACCACTTCCAAGGCTCCGTTGGGCTGTGTTGCATCGGCACCTCCACCGGATCGTTGCACCCTGCAACAAGTAGTTCTCTCTTTCACAAACATTTTTCCAGCTGGCGAGGCACTTTTATTTCAAGTTTACTCAGGTGCTATGTGATGCCTGTATAGAACCTATTCAATTTTACGGTATTTCGCTTGACTGCTAGGCACACTACGCCTAATTGAAATTACCGTGTTCAACAGACTTACATGTAGGCTGGAGCAGCCAGGTGAAAACCGTTTGAAAACAGCGTCTCCATCAAACGTGGTCATTCATCATAAAAACGTTCATTTCTACATAGTACGAGTACAGTAGTCTTTGAGCCGATGTGCGTATGATTGGACGACACGAATGACCACTCCCTTGAGTTAGTACTGCTTGTCTTATACCAGAATTAGGCGCATTATGGTTTTTAAATTACCTTGATTGCCGTAGAACGTGGTAAGTGGCGCTTTTGAAGTATAGAAATCAACTCGGGATAAGAAGACCTGGTCCAAAGGAACCCATTCGAGCCGTCTGCCCGCACATCGAAAATCCACGAGTACTCGGCTTGTGGAACGGGCTACTGCTTTGCCACACTGAAACGCCCCATCATCTCCAAGAACCTCCACAACGACAAAATCCTCCGCATCCTTCACCAACAATTGTTTCAGAAAGGCACACGACTTCGGCATCTTGTCGTCCAGACGGAGGTAATCACATGGAGATGTGTAACGCAGTAAATAAACGGGTAGCAGTGCTACAATTGTGACGAGATTAAAACCGGATGACAGTCTCACACTATTGAAAACGTGTATAAAAAATGCGGAGTAAGCATAAAGTTAAGCATGCTAACTGCTAACAAATAAGTACACCTGTTCTGTACCTTTCTTTTTGTAATAAAAAGTATACACAAGTCACAAGCAGTCTATTCGTCAAAGTGTGAAAGCAGCTGTAGTCTACTAGTACTGGTCGTCTTTGCACGACGTAAAATGGTGGGAAAGGTTCAACCAAAGTGAACAAGAGAAATCCCGGATGTCGATTGCCGAAGAGAAGCTACCCTTTCGCAGTTCACGTATATGCGAATAATGCAAGTGCAGAGTTCGTAGCTCGAAAGATCCTCAATTGTTTCGTTGGTTAGATCCGTAATTGGTTAGACAACCAGCCTGGTAGAAATTCCAAACATTGCATCCGTGGTTGTACTCAGTATTGGCGTACTGCGGTGAGCACCGTGCAGGTGTCGTTTGTACGACGGTTTATAATAATATTATTATAATTACACAGTCGGATGTGTACTACACAATACACACATCAACACCAGAACTTACCCAATAAGCAACACAGTACAAGTACTACAAGCAACGAGAAGTGTCGCTGCAGGACCTGCCGCGGGTGGTAAGAATGGGACATAGTGAATGTTGTTTCTTGACGCTTCCGAGTGGTCCCCGTACCCCTCGTACCACAATGCCCAAAATTACTCCACAAAACACTTATTGTTTAGTTTCTTTTTATTTACGAATATCAATAATCTAGCATCTGAACAATCGCACCGGCATGTTGCTGGTCATGGCAGAGCAGGAAAGATCACCCGGCAAACGGACCGAGGATGGTGACCCTTCCCGAGCAAGATGAGCATGTCGGCACATTACATGCCGCCATCAGCATTTGAGCGCCATATCTCATGCGTTCGCACTTGGGAGCGCAAATTACAGTGTGACCTTTCCGCAAAGCAACGTTGAAGAGTATACGAAACAAACGCTCAGGACGTTAGGAAAGACAAGAACTTATGAGCATAAAACACTGCGGTTAATTTATGTTACGAGACGAGTATCTTTTTTATCTAACTGTAATCTCATTTGTGTTTGGTGTATTGTATTTGAGTTTTATTTTTCCATTTTGTTTTCTTATTGGTATTTTTTCCTTTATTTGTTTTAATCTGCTTTGTTTTTTATTTAGTTGTATTTGATTCAACTTCTTTCGTTTAGCTTTATCAGTTTTAGTTAAGTTTTATTTGGGTTTTTGCTTCTTCTGTTTGATAGGGCTCCAGACCAGGGGCCCGTTGTGTAAAAGCGTGTTGTGTAAAAGGTGTATGGCAGAAGATGTATTAGTTTTATAAGTTGCCAGCAGAAAGCACTGTACTTCTATGTCCAATACAAGGTGATAATCACCATAGCAACCGGCTAATCTTCACTCCGGTCCAAAACATGTGCGAATTGAATTTCGTGGTAAAATGCAGAATGATCCGAATGACGAAGCCCGCAGTAAATCACCCGTGAAACCAGCGGTACCTGATTCTGTTGAGCCTCCGAGAAAAGGCAAGAAATCCCGTACCAAACCAGAATCCCACGTTATCGCTGATAATCCCCTGAATGGTAATGATCCCGTTAATCAGTCCCTTGAACCGCCCAAGAATGCGTCCAAACGGAGCTCCAGCAAAACATCCAAACGCCGCACCGAGTCCCGCGTCCAGATGGCAGCCGAGAATACGCCCACGGTCCGCGAGTCGAAGGTGGCGCCTCCTGGTTAGTTGTGCCTTTGAGTACGTAAGTGTATACTGCACGAAGCCTCGCCTATTCCTTTCACTGTTTCTTTATTTCTGTCATGATTATTCGTTTTCGCTTTTAGTAGTTATTTCCAACGGAAGATTAAGTATCCAGCCTGTCGGGTCCGAGACGGCCCCCGGGCGCCACCGTGAACTGACGGAATTGGCGGCGTCCCAGCTGGTGTCGCAGCTGTTGGGGAAACTGCAGCCGACGGAATCGCTGCCCGCCGCCAAGCGCTCCCGCGAACCCACTGTCATCCAAGCGGAGGATCTCGTCGATGACCTCGCTACAGATGTCTCCATTCCGGACGTGCCCATACAGGAAGCTTTGCGCGGAACAGCGCCGGAGCAGATCAATCCAGTTGGCGAAGAACCAAATGCGAGCGTAGCGGACGACAACCGCCCGCGGGAGCCGACGATAGTCGAGGCCGCTGATTTTATTGCCAACGTGGCTGAGATTTCCCCAAGTGCAGACCAGAGCGTTTCACGGAAGATTCACCCGCAAAGGAGCCCGTTGCGGAGAACTTCGGAGCCATCAGTTTCTAAGTCGCGGGATACACGCCCACGGGAGCCGACTATAGTTCAAGCCGACGAACTCATTACCGATATTGTTCAGAACGTAAAACCCGCGCGGACCAACTCGAATACTGCGGACGCAAATCCTGACGATAAAATGAAAGACAATCGAATTGAGGAGAGAAAAAAGTCCGTGACCTTTGACACGCGGCCGCGCGAGCTGACTGCCATGCAAGCCGAATCGCTCCTGGACAGTCTTATCTCCGATGTTGACTCGCAAGCGACGAAAGCCAAGGAGGCTGTCATCGCGGAACTGCGCGTCCGCATCAAATCCATCAATTCCGCCAGCACACCGCGGCGCAGCGAACGCACTCCTTCCGCCCAACGCTCTCGCGAACCAACTACAGTTCTAGCGGAAAATCTGGTCAGGAGCGTGGTATCCAGTGCAGACAAAACGGACAGCGAGAAATTACCAGTCAAAGCAAACAGCAACAACCCGAATGTCGATAGAAGCAGCGTCACAACGCCAGTTTCACCGAGCGAAGCTAGCGAAACGCAAACCAGAGAGCTCGCTGCGTTGAACTTCGATTCGCCGGTGGCCCCGCCTTCGTCACCGCAAAACGTCATGTCGCCTGCATCAAGTGCACCGGGACCGTTAGTTCCTGACAAGAAGAAGCGATCGGAAAGTGGGAAAGTGAAGAAGAAGCGAAAAGAATCGCGGACCGAGAAAACGAGCGTTACCGAGAAAAACTCTGAAATTCCTGCGACGACAACCGAAGTTGCCCCTGTGCCTGCCGTTATGGAAATCGGGGTTGAACAAACTACGCCGATTGAGAAACGATTTGTTCCAACGGAAGCACTGAATACTTTGGAATCTGATCAACCGCAATCCGAACCGATCGTTTCCAGTGTTTCCGGCAAAAGCCTCCACCGAAAAGTGCAGAGCTTGCGCTCGAAGTCTCGTCTAAACCTGAAAAGCGTCGGTCGACCAAAACCAGGAAGAAATCAACGGATGTCGAACGTCAGCAAGCCGAAACGGTGAAAGCTGAAAATGTCTCCCTGCCGCAACCGGTTGAGAACCGCACTGATATTGTGCCAACCGAAACAGTAGCGCCGCAGCCGCAGAATGTCACAGAAGACCGAACATCTTTGGTGGAGAACACGGTGATGGCCAAAGAGCTCGTGGAAGCGATGGAGGACACCGTCGCCAAGAAGATGTCACTGGTCCCTCAAATCCAGGAAACCAGGACCCCGGAATTTTTTCGTGGGGGGAACAAGCCGGTTTCATCGACGCCGGTTATTGCACTCGCTGATACACAGCCGAAACATCGTCGGAGAACTACTGAACACGCCCGTCCACGAAGCAGGCAAGCTACAGACGAGAAGATACCGGTAGAAGTTTTAGAAAAGACCGAAGTAAATAAAGAAACCGAAAGCAATCTTCCACTAGAAACGGTTAAGACAGAAAAGCGTAAACCGAAACGCAAATCGACGACCGACCAAGGTAAACTCATTGAGCAACCGCAAAGAAAAAGCGTACAGAAGAACCCAGAAACTCCATTAAATGAGCTCCTCGAAAAGCCTGCGTTAGACACTGGTCAACTGATTCCCGAGAAAAACGAAAGATAGTACGCCACTGAGCGAACTGATTGCCAAGAGCCTGTGGAAAATGCTCCACCGGTTGCGGAGAAAAAGGTCAAAGATACCACGCCGTTAAGCGAGCTGATTCGGCAGAGTATCGTCGAACCGGTTTTTGTGGATGAGGTCATTAAAGAAAAACCGGAGACACTGCCGGATGCAAAGAAACCGAGCGAACCGAAAAAACTGTCGATACCCACGGTCAAACCAAAGACCGATCTGCCGCTGAGCGAGCTAATTCGTAACAGCATCGTCCAACGCGCGAACGAGACCGAAGCACAACAGCAACAGTTGCCCGAAAAGCCCGAATTAGTGGTTGAGCCTGAAGAAGCGCTGATCGAGAAGAAGCGCCGGAAATCCAAAACCAGACGAAAAGAGCGAGATACGCCGGACCAGGAAACACCAGCTGAAATTATTCCAGTGACGCCGCAACTGGTACCACCCGAAAAGGACGAAGGCACCTTGGTCAAAGATCTATCCATGGAGCAGATGACAATTCAGTTAGAAAAATCCTGAATGAGAAACCGCCGACCCCGAAAATGGTGCGCCGCCGACCGACCAAGACGGAGGCAGTGCAGATCGCCGAGGTCGTAGCACAGGAGTTGGGAGTACCCTCACTTATTGTGACCCCGGAAGCTCGGACAGAAACACCGCCCCCGATCCGAAGACCGCGACCACAGCCGCCGCGAGGTCCCATGCCTCGGCGACCTCCGACGCCGGTGCACGATAACCAGAACGACAGCACCCAGACGCCGGGAGGTCTTCGCCAGCGACCTCGGCCACCGGATGCTCGTAAGCTTGTCCCCGAACCGGAAGCCGTTCCGCCTCCGATCGAAGTAGTTAAGGCACCGGAAGTGAAGGCGGAAGTTGTCGTTGCTCCGGTGGAGTCCGTTGAAGCTTCCGGCGATAAGAAAAAGAAGCACCGGAAGCACAAATCTCCGACGGACGATCAGGACGGGGAACACCACCACAAAAAGCGGAAGAAAAAAGAAAGGTAAACGCCAGAAACCCGAGACCGAAGAGGACGACAGCGTCCGGCAGGAGATCAGCACCCGGAAAGGCGACACGTTATACGGGCAGTCCGTGGGCAATTTCTTCGTACTGGAGGACGTCCTGGGGAAAGGCGGTTTCGGGGAGGCACGCCGCGGCCGCCACGTCACCTCCAGCAAAAAGTTCGCCATCAAACTGGAGCGGGTGGCCGACGCCAACGACTCCCTGGCGGAGGAGTACAAGATCTACCAAATCCTGGGCCAGCACACCGGGTTCCCGCGGTGCTACTATTTCGGCGTCGGACCGATGGAGCATAACGCTTTGGTCATGGATTTGTTGGGTCCGTCGCTGGAGGACTACTTCCGGGCCATGGACCGCAAGTGGTCGCTAAAGACTGTGTGCCTCGTGGCCATACAGGTCCTTGAGAGGATTGAGTACGTGCATTCCAAAGGGTACGTGTACAGTGATATTAAACCGGAGAATTTTCTGACCGGTTTGGCGGAGGAGCATCTCGATAATACGGTGTATTTGATTGATTTTGGACTGGCGCAGCAGTTCAAGGACAAGGATACCGGAAAGTATTGCTATGATGAGAATCTCAAGACGCATCCCATCGGCACAATGCGGTAAGGTACGCTCGACAAAATTAGTCAACTTTGGCTATATAAATCACATTTCAAAAAATCACCTACAATTATGAGATTCCATTAAATCATAAATCATTAATCATAAATAATGAGATTCCATTAAATTTACGGAATCTTATTATTAAAAACTAAATAAATTAAATCTTATTATCTTGTTTTAAAATACTAAATAAATTTTAAATTTTCTATTTGTTCATTTGATAAACAAATAGATGATTTAAAATTTAATTATTATTACAACAATTATTAAAATAATATTTAATAAATGGGCAAGTCACATTTACTTTATCAATCAACCAAAGTTAAATTAAATTACGGCATCCATATTTTTGGGCGATCCTGCAAGCACAACTGCAAACCAGAATAATATTGCTAATCATAATGATCTTATTAGTTAAATAAATTTAGAACAAACTACTCTAGTAAACAATCGAGTGGCTTAAAATGTTTGATTACTTTATTTTATTCAATTTAATAATTTTTTAATTTCTAAAAACATTCCATATTTTTATTAGCTAAAATAATCAAGTAAGAACATAAATAAACAAATAAATATAAATGTAAGTAAAAGCTCGGTATATAATTATTTCGGTGTGACCTATAGGTACATGAGCGTGCGCTCCCACGAAGGCCGCTCCCAGTCCTACCGCGACGACCTTGAGTCCATCGGCTACCTGATCATCTACTTCCTCCGCGGACGGTTGCCCTGGCAGGGCATGGGCATCAAAGACCGTCAGAAGAAAGTTAAAGCCGTCGGTCTGCGCAAGAAGACCATCCCACTGGACGAGCTGTGCGCGAACTGTCCGCCCCAACTGCAGGACTATATCAAGTACGTCCGCAGTATCCAGTTCTACGCGGAGCCCAAGTATGAGCGGCTGCGCGGATTCTTCGCCGCCGTCATGCAGGCCAACGGCTGGGTGGACGACGGCCAGCTGGACTGGATGGGGAAGAACTTCGATTTCAGTAAGAATAAGAAGTCGGACAGTGGGTTCGGGCGGCCGGGATCCGGGGAGGAGGGCGAAGCGGAAGGTACGGAAGGGGAAACAGCGGAGAAGCGGAAGAGTGTGGCGGTTAAACCCAGGCGGCCGCCCACGCCGGCGGTCACGGAGGAGGGCGAGGAACGGCCGGTGGTGCGGAAGCAGGGGATCGTTGCCGGCAAGGGTGGGCATGGATCCCACAGTGGATCCCTTGTTGGCGTTTTCTGGTAAATACGTACATTAAAACTGGGATTAAACAAACTTAAATTTTACTTAATTAAACCAAGATCAAGTGTATTACCTAACTGCATAATATAGAAACTAGGAAAGTGCACCGCTGTTGGCTTGCATTAAAAGACCGAAGCGAAACAGGAAACCAACTGTTTGCTGAATTTGTTTGCAAATTAAAACTGTTTTGAAAATGCATTTTTCATATTTATATAATGTCTTTTCTTTTTTTATTTAATATTTCTGGATGTGCTCCACCATACGTTATCTGAAATTATTAATGCGTGACCGACATGACCGACGTAACCGACAAAATTCCTGTTTTCTCGAACATAAAGGACCTTCGCTCCGCTTTGGGTCGATTAAATAAATTACTCCGCTAAAATAAGAAAACAGCAGCTCTGCAGCTCTGGTAAAATATCTGTAGCTCTGCTAAAATACGTTTTTGCTTTTCTCGCTAGAATGTTATTCGCTTTCGACGCAAAGTTTACTTGATTGCGCTTTAGGCGATAATATGTGAAGGAAAGAAATAATGTCGTAAACTACATGTTCGCTGCGCATTTAATTTAAGAGAACTTTATATTAAACCAGAACTAGCAGTGACTTCACGGATGTGTTACAACGTGGATCGATGTCTAAAGCCGTGTTTATGTGTATAGAACAGGAAAATAAAAGGAAGCTGGCGGCCGCGGCGATTAAGAAACCGGAAGCGTCGACGCACGATGATGACTATTTCGGTGGACGGGGGGAACGGGAGAGGATAGCGCCTCGGCGGCAGCGGGAAGAGCATAGTAGCTGTTATTGTTGCTGACGATGCATGGATGACTGGGCGAAATGAAGCTATTGTTGGAAACAGCAAGTAGGCACTTCGAAATGTGGATGATGTTTGCCCGTGGAGAGTACGCTGGAGGGGATTTATGCCAGACTGTCGGCGATTGCAACGGATGATTTCGATTGCGCAGTTTTCTCTTAGCGCGGCATTATAAACTGCCAGTTTCTATTGCTCGTGCTGCTTCAATTTACGCAAACCATCGCCATTCCGTTGCATGTGTTGTGCCGGCTGGACTATATTCAGTTTTCTTTTTGTGTCGGGTGAATTTTTGTTTAACGTTTCTTTATTTTGAGTGATCTGCACATTTCATTAAGAAAACGTAAGTGTTCAAACCGGTATCTGACAATACTACCGTATTTGGTACAGCGTTAAAAATGTGGGACTGGTACGGTGGTACCTATTTATTGTTCCTGCGAACAGAGTATGCGGTTTGTATAAGACGTTAATAAACTTCTATCTGAAGAAATATTAAAAGTAATACAGAAGTACCACAAGATCATTCGTCATCAGTGCCGGGATACGATCGAAGAAACACTCTTTTGTAGCACTTAAACGCACACTTGCTGTCCAAAGCATGACTGCACAGAAATCATGCAAGCTAGCAACCGCATTATGTAAAAAAGTACACGTTTTACTTTAAGCCAAACCAAATATCATGCTGATTACTGTGCTTAACAAAGTACTATGCTGAATAATTAAAGTGTTGCCCATATAAGTGCTAAAACCATGACGGATCCCTCAAATACCTCCGTGCTACGCAAAGAAATCGAGCGCCGCTCTCATCAACAAGCCAAACAAAACGAACTGGGCGTATTTCTCCCCGCGCAGCAGATTAATCGTTCAGAGGACTGGGAAGGCCTCTACCAGGTCTCCCGCGGCGAACTGCTGATAGCCGATACATGGCGGTGTGTGCGCAAGATCGCTGTGGGATCCTGCAGCGCGATCTACCTGGCCTACAGCCTCGATTACGAGAAGGTATGCGAGAACCCGCTAATTTATCGGGGTTCTCTCAACCGCTGTATAATTCAATAGGATGCGGCGGTGAAGATGTGCAGTTTCTCCCATGGAAATGATGCACTGGCTCGGGAAGCCCAGGGCATGCTAAATCTGAAGGATGGACCGGGAATACCGAGACTCTAGCTAGGCAGCTGCTTAATGATTAGCGCGAAGGTCTAGTGAATGATTTGACTGAAGGACCGTTCGATTTTGTAGCTGGTTTGGCAAAGGAGCGCAGAGGAATTTCTTGGTGATGGAATTACTGGGACCCAGTTTGCTGGATTTGTTCCACTACTGTCATGGACGATTTACTCTTAAGACCGTGTGCATGCTCGCCGTACAAGTACGTTCTGATTGCGATAGCACAATCAAAGATACAAAATTATCAAAAAATTTCAAATTAACACGAATTATCTAATAACTGGGCTTGACATTTTTTCAGATATTTGAAATCCTCGATTGGATCCATCGCACTGGCTACGTACACCGTGAAATCAACCCGCAAAATTTCTGCATCGGCAGCGGATCCGCGAGTCGTCAGGTACCCATTTCATATCCATTACATTTTTGATTTACAAAGGTAGTATATAATATTTCTAGATTTTTCTGATTGATTATGCGACACTCATCAAACACCGTGGAAAAGTGGACGTCAACGGAGCCGACTGCATTCCCAGCGTGGTGGGAACGCAGCTGAAAGGTCACGCTTTATATGACACTATTTCAAGCCATAAAGGTCTAGAACGCAGGTTGGTAGGTTGATCTCTGCTTCACGGCAACGTTTTGAGGATTTTTTTTTGCCGAAAAATAGTTATCGCGATGACGCCGAATCGAGCATGTACATGTTAATCTACTTTCTCCTGGGGGATCTTCCCTGGCGCAAAACCCCAGCTAGCAAAGAACCGAATGCTCAGCAGAGCCGCTTTGATGGAGTGCTGAGAATTAAAGAAAGTTCAGTGTTTACCGCGGTGGGTGGTAGCTGCCTGCATTAAAAAAAGTTTTGCCATGTTTTAGTTTAATTTCTATTTTTGTTTACTTATTTATTAAAAAAATATTAAACTAAAAATTGAGTTTAAAATATTAAAATCGCTCATGTCTTCGTTTTAGTTTTTTATAAAATCTTGTCTTTTACAGATTATCCCCGGCGAGATGCAAGCGGCGCTCGATCACGTTCGCGCGTTACCTTACGAAGAGCGACCAGACTATGAACTACTGATCCACCTTTTTCTCTCCATGATCAAGAATTCCGGCGCCAGTTTTGACTATAATTACGACTGGCTAAACCACACTACACCCGACGAACTTCAAGAACGTGTTCGCGAGAAACGCAAAGTTCTGTCACGCTTGATCGCACCGGACGTCGGGGCTTTCCTGGCGCTACAGACACATCGCCGGCTGCACCAGCACGACAGCATGGATGATCTCCTGCATGATGTCGAGCACCACCAAGCGCCAGCGAAGCATTAAACTGTTCGCTCATAAACAGTTTTTTTTTATTTGTAAAAAAACTTCTCAACATCCTGCAACGATAATTAGTAAAAATAACAGAACCGGCGAATCTCCCTAAAAATAGATAATCTCTGTCAAACTAACTTGTAAGAAAATTCAGAAATAAAAAAAGCCTTGGATCCGCTTTACACACACGACAGCGGGAAGCGGCCGTATTTTGCCGGCACAGTAAAAAGCGTATCACAGTGAAAATACTGTCCACAACGCGGAAATCCCGGTATCGAGGTCGTAAACCCTGCTGGCTCGTATTCAAAAAGAGCCGACAGGTGTCCTCATTCAGTTTTGTATCCCGGTGTAACAGGTGACCTATTGGATACCGACCAGTTTCGCGTGGCGCCGGCTTCTCGTAGGCAGACCGTGCTCGCCCGCATCGGCAGAATTACTCAGTTTGCGGTGGCTCTCGGTCGGATATCAGCAAATTTCGGAAGAACGCCAAGCAGCCCCACGGCGAAATCTCTGCAGCACCAATAACACATTGTTCTTAATAAAATAAAATTCTGAAGTAGTTCTGCTTCACCTCATTTTAGTTTCGCATATCTGCTTTACTGCGGATTTTTTTCGTTTAATAAGTTCGCCGAATTGTTGTTGTTTTACAAAAAGTTTTTTTAATTATTCAATGTTATGTCAATGTTTTTCAATTTTTCAATGTTCAATGTTTTTATTGTAAATTTGATAACAACTTTAGCTGATTTACTTACTTTTAGTTGGTTCAACCGGCGCTTTACACGGCTGGTCCTTGGTCACCACCGTCGTCGTGGAAAAATTGTTTCCTGGCCGCGCTAATATGACCGGCGGCAACCGGCACCGAATCCTTCCGCTGATCATCCCCGGCATCCGCCCCACCCAACATCCGCCTCGGCACCACCCCCACTTGCTGTCCATCCCCCTGCTGCACATCCACCTTCTTTTCTTTACACTTAACAAACCCGAACTCCAGGTTGACATTCTGTTCCAGCCAATCGAATGTCTTAATCGGTCCCAACCCGCCCCGCTCCGCTCCTTCAAAATACTCCGGAAGATGGCGCGATAGGCGTTACAATCCCCCGGGGACTCGAACGGGAGGGCCCGTGCTGCTTTGAGGAACTTGCAGAACCCGGGCGGCAGTCCCTCGCAGAGAACCTCGGGAGCCACACTGCCTTTCTTCGTCCCGATGCGTTTGATCCGTTTGACGGTACTCCCGTCCTGGATGCCCTGCCAGGGAGTTTTCCCTTGGCGAAGTAGATGAAGAGGAAGCTTAGGGACTCGAAATCATCGCGGTACGAGGGCTGCTTGCCCATGTGGGTGCGCAGGGACATGTAGCGTGGGGTCCCGGCAGGGGTGCGGCGTTCGTAGGGGTTCTTGGACCAGTCGCGGGCCAGCCCGAAGTCCACGACGTGGATGGTGTTCTGGCCGCGGGAACCCGGGAACCCGATGAGGAAGTTCTCGCCTTTGACGTCGCGGTACAGGATGCGCTCTTTGTGAAGGTACTCGAAGCGGTCCAGGAGCTGCAGGGCGATAAGAGACACGCAGTGGATGGTGAACATTTTGCCGCAGCGCTCGAAGAGCTCCTGAAGATTCGGGCCTATAAGGGACAATTTTCATAACTAACGGCATTTTTTCTTCAGTCGAAAGATATATCGAGCCTCGCGTATTTTTACGTAGTTTAGAGTTTATTCGGAAAATCTTTTGTTTAAAGGTCGCTAGTTGTTGCTACGCCGGACGGCAGTTAGGTACATGAAGAAATCTCAGCACTACAGGTATTTTCATAAAACAAAATGATTTAATAAATTTAAGAATTAAGTTTAAGTTTATTACGTTTTAAAAGTATGTTTTTCTGTCTACAAAATTTTCTTTAACTTAAAACTGAAATCAAAGCGTCACTATCTGAAGCTCTACCGGGAGGCGGATACTAGACAAAATGTTGTACTTTTGATATTATTAACTATTAAGTACTACAAAAAAGTCAGTTTAAAAATTATCCGTCTAAATCGCTTCCATCTAATATTTCGTTGGAATTATCCTCAAGAAGCAAGAAAAATGGAAGAATCGCTGTATTTGTTATTGTGGGCGCCGTTCGACTGGGCTCACCTAACAGTTGCATTACCAATGCTCGGAAGGGTCCGAACGTCGTCAGCGCCAGGATCACCGGGATTCCGCTGGACGCCCGCTGCAGTCTCCTCAAGAACTTAAACTCCTTATCCAGACACGGACTATTCCCAAATTTATCCAATTTCTCCAGTTTGATGGCCACATGCTGCACCTTCTCGCCTTGAGCCTGCCCGATACGGATGGTGCCGAAACTGCCGCGTCCGATCACCGCGCCGCAGATGTAGTTGCCGGCGATAGTGGCGCCCGCTAGCGACGTCTTATCCCAGTCGCGGATCTCCTTACTGATGGTCGACTGGGTGAGATCCAGGTGTTTGGGATGATTGGGCCGTTCCAGGAACCATTTGGGCGGGGTCTGCGATTCGTTGGCGGCCACGCTGGGCGTGGCTATGGTTGGAACCGAGGGGGCGCTGTGGGAGTGGTTGTGGCGGAGAGGGTCGCACCGGCGCGGTGCATCGCCGTTTCTGGTTTGACCAAGGTGGTTATTCCGCTTAAAATCCTAGTATTGGCTCATTGTTGTTCTCTCATTATGATTTTAGAATTCTTTGTTACAAACAAGGCAAAATGAAGGTTTCCTGAATTTTCTAAAGACTCGGCAGACCGATTAAAGCGCCGAAGGTAATAAAATATTTTTTTATTGAGGCAGATATAATGCATTTACGCTAAATGAAGGATTATTTCGTTTGTATTAGACGAGGTGCAGATGTCCTTGAATTTGCTGGTATCTGCTGAAGGTCAAAGAAGCGGAATTCTTTGTTTGTCTTGGCATTCTTCTGTTGGTGCAGTACTTTGTACTGCCGCAACGGAATTAAGCGCCGTAAGTTAGGTAAGTATACTGTACGGTGTGGACGGATGCATATTATAATTTCCTGCTCACGCAGCAACTAAAGGTCACCTTTGGCTGTACCTACATGTACGGTACAGCGTAAAGTGCAAACTGCATTAAGTACAGTATTCGATTTGATTGTTGACGTTTCTGAATTGGATCCTTATTCATTTCTTTGCAGAAAAATCATTAATTTGTCTACAGCATTAACGAAAAACCAAAAAATCTACAAGGAAAATGGTAAGTGCTGCAGAAACGCTCCGATAAAAAAATGGCAGCAATTTCTTAACGGGTGGCGTTCGTGGCAGGGTGAAGTGGATGAGATGTTCAAACGGATTATGACGATTAAGGGCGTGCAAGCAGCCGTGGCCATGACTGCCGATGGTACTACACAACGCATTAACGTACAAATAAATTCCATTTATTAAATTTTCCAAGATTGGTTCACGACCTCAAATAAATTAAATCAGTGAGCCGTTAACGTGATCGTTCAAATCTCTGTTTTGAACAGCTACTGGCTGGGTGTTAATTGTTGCAAAACACATGCTTTTGCAGTCTATGTGGATAATATGACCGTTATTATCAAAGCCAGGTTGTTTATACAAATGCATGAATTCTTTCTGTTAGGTATCGTTATTCGCAGCACGATGGAACAGTCGAATGCCGTACACTACGCCGCCATGTACGCCCCGCTAGTGCAGGAGAGCCGAATGGCCGTCAGCGAACTGGGCGGTAACAACGTCAAAACCATTCGTCTGCGGACCGGCAAACACGAGGTCATCATTATACCAGGTAAATGAGAAAACGTTTAGTTATCGTAACAATGTCTTATTCTTCACAATTTTTTAGGAAAGCTTTATCACTTCCTAGTAATACAGCAGCCAGATGCCTCGTTTGACGGCCCATAGATACAGCGTGACTTTTTTATCAGCAGACTGATAATAGTTTTATGCCGTGCGTAGACGTTGTTGTAACTTGTGACAGTATTAACAAGAAATAACGCAGTTTTGTGCCATTTTAAGTGGATCTATGGTTTATCTGCTTCGGCGTGCTTTTCACTGCTGAGCAGTGTGGTGTTCGGCTCCGTTTTGATGTCAACAGCGGGTGCTCCCGCCATGAAATCCGCGCCACGGCTGTGATTCATGACAGCATCCAGAATTTGCTGTTTATAAAAGAACAAATTGATCAAAATATATTATCGAACGGACAAGTGGCGAGCCGCGGTCACCTTTAGCCAAATTCCCGGGCGTTTTTCACACTTAAGCAGTTCATGGTGTTTCCGGTCATCCAGCTCCAACAGTTCGGCGTTCTTGCGTTCCAGGAATTCGCACTTCAATTTCCACTCGTTGATTTGCCGCTCCAGTTCGATATCGGATTCTTCTAGATCTTTCACCTAAAATAAACAAAAAAATCAGTGGAAATACCTTAGAACAAAACATCACAGTACTAATACCAACTTTCATTTTACGATACCGCTCTGCGATATTCATTTGGGAATTCAAATGCAATCAAGGATTTGGGTGCGCAAGAAGTTTCGATTGGTTGGCTGATTTGTAAACACCTAATACTCGACTAATCGTAAACTACCTTTCTTATTTTAACATTTTTCTTTGGACTTTCGCCGTAATAGTTCACCGAGTTATTCAGGCTGAACAAAATGCCCGTACCTGTTCTTCAGTGTCGCCTTTGCCTTCCTCAAACATCAGAGCATTGCGCACGCCGTAGGCCACGCCCCGCTCGAACAGCGTCTCATATGCCGCCATGGTCATGCGGATCTCATCGCGGATGCGCAGGAACATGAGACCGCGCTCAGGACTCTCCAGAGTAATCTCCCGAATCAACTCGTCTACAACGAAAGCCACCGTTCATTTCTTTATACTGATCGGATGACCTTAATAAAGCCATAACGAGCGCCGATTACCTGCGTCATCGACGCACCGAAGGTCTGTGAATACAAATCCCGACGGATCGGGCAGATCCCGCTATCGCGCGCTTGCAGATGTTCCAGGCGGGCATCCAATTTCTCCTGAAGATTGATGACGTCCATGCGACTGGCCGGGACGCGGGAGATTTTTTGCGTGTACTGATATCCGTTGTCGACCCATTCCCTGTTAAAAAGACAAGATTAAACAAACTGATAAAATAAAGATACTGAATTAAACGGCAAAAAATAAAGCAAGCTAAAAAATGGTAAAGACACTTTCAGCAGTTGTCAAACCTAAGAAACCAATCGAAATATTTATAAGAAGTCATTTTTAGTTAAACAAAATTTTAAAAATTAAGTACGTTTAAAAAAATGCTCCACGCAGTTCAGACAAGATTCGTTGCAATTCGATTAAAGCAGTTCGTTGCATTTGGTTTTTGTACGCTCGCAAACGCTGCTTTTTAGGAATAAATTTGACTTATTAAAAATTTCTTGTACGAACAGCGCCTCCTTATCGAGGTGAAAAAAAAGCTCAAAATGAAGAATTACCTTGGTGGCAATATTAAGTCAAGAATCGGTTCCACCGCCGCGATGTTGGTCTTGTAATTATCGCGCCGCTCTAACTTAGGCAGCACGGGCAGAAAGTAACCGAGCTCGTCGACAGGTTCGTCGGGTGCTGGTGCTGTCTTCCCGTGCTTCAGCTAGCGTGGCATCAAAGGTTACCATTAACACACGCAAGCAGCCGATGCACAAGCTAGACCTACCCCAGCGCGGGCAACATTCGGCTTCTCGATCAACACTTCGGGCGCGTCATGTTTGACCAAGTGTTCCGGAGGAACCGGTGATTTAAGCAGGCTATTAGAGTCCATTTGAGATACGGTAGATTACTGGATGTACACAAATCAATAGAGAACCAACGATTGTTTTTAATGCAAATAAGTACTGGTGCAAGGGTTTTCGTACATGTTGAATCCATAAAGTAAATTATAAGTACTTTGGCGTATATGGCTTGTTGTTGTTGTTGCATAAACATACAGCGCAGAATATAGCTTGACAGCTTCTTTTCCTGTTGCTTGGATACTAATTTACTAAAGCATACATTAGCAAAATAATAACGCTTTTGTAAGATTGTTAATGCCATTGTATCACAACGTACAGTAGTATTGATATTCACTGGAACTAGGACCCAACGTACGCTGTTGTTCTTATTGTAAAAACCTCTGCAAGCAGCAACAGCATACAGGCCAGCAAATCTTTACGGCTTAGCACACCAATAAATACTGGATCTTTAATTTTATCTGTTGTCTGGCCCGATAAAGCAATTTTGCTTCGTAAATACAAAAACCTCGTCTATGATCTGCTGTACAGTAAGCTCGCGCGGCATATGCGCCCGCGGCCGATAATAATCCCGCTCGGCGCCCACCGTCTCCCAGTCCCCGAGTGGCGGCCGCAGGTTCAGGAGAATTCCCAGGGCCTTAATGGCGTCATCCTCGGCCATCCGCTCCCCGCCGCCCTTCAGGATCTGCAACAGCTGTGCTGGTCGCACCGTGGTCCGTAGTTCTTCGAAGCCGAAACGTGCGAAGGCCTTGATTACGTCCGGGCACTGGACGCCCCACAACGGGCGATGGTTTACAAACGCTGCGTAACAAAACCGAACACAGTTTATCGTACAACGTAAAAAATCGAACACGACCAGTCAGATTCAAAATAACTACAGCAAGGAACAAGTGGATATGGAACATTCCCAATGCGCATAAACTGTCAGCACTCGCTTTCATCTGAGAGGACTCATTTGCGCCTTATGTTTAAAAACGAGGCATCAGCTTTTCTAGTTCTATATTAAAAAACCTTACTTTTTAGTACAGTTCCAACGTCCACTTCGTCCACCAGCGACCCGGTTGCCGCGAACTGGCTGTATTTGATCTCGTTGATGATGTTCTTCTGCTCCAGTTCGGATGGGTAGTAGCTCAGATAGCAAAAGAGATTGGAGAGTTCGACCAACGGTAAACGGTCGGTTACGCGACGGGTTTCGCGCGTCTCCATACCTTGACTATCAAACAACGCACTTGTTAGTCCCAGCACAAAATATGGTGAAGGATGTTTCTTACGCTTTTAGCTGGAGATAGCAAAAACACTCCTCCATATCCCGATACAATTTCCCATCTAATCCGCCTTCCAGAAGATCAAAGAATGGCATTAAACTGGTCTTCTTGCCCTCCAGACTGGCTTCGAGAACTCTGGAAATAATCAAAGGTTTTTTAGCAGAGGTACTGCAGAATGCGGGTATGCACTATGCAGCAGCTGAAGGAAACAGAAGCGTACTCTGGATGAATGGACCACATATGGACGCCAGCCTCCAGTCCACCGGCAGTGAAGACAAAGCACCCGTTGGATGTCACTTTCATACAGGTAACCTGCAAAATACAGACATTCTACACATAATTCAGGACATAAAGGTCTGTTTCCGCCGGATGTTGCTGCGGCGGCGGTGGCAGGGGATAAAAGGTGGCAGTGGCACCTGCCACTGGCAACTGCCACCGGCAGTGGCAGTTGCCACTACGCGTTCTGGCAAGCGATAAAACGTGGAAACTGGCAACTGCCTAGTGCCTACATATGGCTATACATTAATCGCTGCCACTACCTTTCCAATTCCATTGATGGCTGCAGTTTGAGTGTGGCGACATGTCACACTTCCAGTTGTCCGGGTGCGATTTCATCATAATTCTGCCGGTCGACGAAATCATTTCAATACTCCTGCACGTTTGAACTTAAGAACCCCCAGAAAATTACTAAGAGCAGTTTCTAACAGCGCTCGGAAAATCAGTGCCTGCAGATTGTTCATTCATCATATCTCCGAATACGATGAAAATGCTTTAAAGAACGAAACAGAGAAATGTATATGCCGTCGGCTACGATATCCACAGGCACGACAAGGTGCTACCGAACATTGACGGTTCTGAGCATAAGGTGCCTGTTGCGCACCCGGACGATTGGGAGTGTGACATTTTGCCGCACTCAAATTCGACGCGCGACTTTTCGCCGCGAAGACATTTCGTCGCCGGATATTCGGACGCTAGGACACTTCGGTTTGGGACTTTATACTTTGAGACATTTTACCTTTGCGACATTTTGACGCAAGACGTCTGGTCGCGGACAATTCGTCTTGGGACTTTTCGAACGATGCGACTGATTACCGCAAAATAATTAACCGCGTTTAATTCTCACTAGTTTTCTAATTTTTTTAATGTTTGTTCTTATTTTTCTTAAGTTTCTTAATATTTCTCAGATTTTCTTAGGTTGCCTTATTCCTTCTTAGGTTTTCTTTAGTTTCTTTGATTTCTTTGATTTCTTTGATTTCTTAGATTTCTAAGGTTTCTTAGGTTTCTTAGGTTTCTTAGGTTTTTCAGGTTTCTTGGGTTTCCTAGGTTTCTTTGGTTTCTCAGGTTTCTTTGGTTTCTTAGGTTCCTTAGGTTTCTTTGGTTTCCTAGGTTCCTTAGGTTTTAGGTTTTCTTAGGTTGTTCATTTGGTTTTGATTTCCAGTTTTCTCTCTGCTGACTTTTTAGTCAGCTTAGTAAATCGTTTATCTGATGGGCGAAATGTCGCTTCGTCGAGATGCCCTTGCGACGAAATTTTTTTGCGTCGAAACGGCTATGCGACGGAAAGTCTCGCGGCGTAAAGTCCTACCGACGAAATGTCCTTCGACGAAACGTCGCAAAACGAGATGGCCTTGCGGTGATATGTCTGGGACCAAAAGGCCTGCGACTTGTTGTCCGCTGCGAAATGTCAGTGCGACCGCCGTTGTTTCTAAATCGGTTGACGCCGCCGTCATGTCCCGTCCCATTCATAATTGAACAATAAGTGCTTGATTTTCTGTACAACAGCGTTCGACACAACAGTGGCTCTGGTTGAGCCTTTGATTATTTGATTTTAAATTACAAAATCTTAGATTTAGACAATTTTTCGATAATTATAAAAGCTTTTTTGAGATGTTGCTTGCACCAACAACTTCATGTGCTTGAAGCAATCCGCATCCGAGGCATTGTCATGTGGCTTAACGAAGCACACTACAAGTTCGCTGGTTTTCGTAAAGTTTATTAAACATATTTGATGTAAGCCGTGTTTATTTGGAACTGGAAGCGATACAGTTGATCATTCATTTATCCATTAGGTCCTCCCAAATTATTCGATTCGTGTAGATCGCCGTTGTTCACTGCGTGAGTACTGAACGGCCAGTTTTTGTGATTCCCTGCTTCTACCATGAGGCCCCGATAGCAGGCGCCGTTTAAAGATGATTATGACGTCGAAGATTAACGCGGTGTTTTCTGGGACACTTGGTATTTAAAAGCGTTCCTGCGCTCACGGCATTAGGAGGCGTACAGTAGGAACTGCTTTTACGATGTCACGCTTAAGTGGCAAGAGGTTAATCGTATAGAAGCGACCTACTTCATTCTGAATTTTTTAGGTACTTTACAAAAGATTATCGTTGGATGGCAGAACCATCACGTTTCGAAATTCCGGCAGTTGCCACGTTTTATCGCTTGCCAGAACGCGTAGTGGCAACTGCCACTGCCGGTGGCAGTTGCCAGTGGCAGGTGCCACTGCCACCTTTTATCCCCTGCCGGCGGCGGTACGCAAATGGCACTTAATGCGTCACATGCGGAACAAGAAAAAACGGTTTTGCCAGAGCACAAAAAGCCGGTTCGTCGTGTATCCAAACCGGATTTTAACAGTATTATAAGGAACTGAGGATTGTGGTTAGCATTTTGGTTTGGATTATTAGGATTTAGGTTCCCCGGTTCGACAAACCGAAATAAAATAATGTGCTAAATCTATTATTGCAACTTGTGCTAGCACATGCCAATTTAAACTAAAACTCAAATATCTAATAACTAGAACAAGTACATCTATGGCTAAATTATTAATAATGTACGAAACTGTAATAGCTTGTGGAATTGTGGAACACTTACACCGAGTGGATGCACGCGCCGCGAACAGTACCGATACGGATTGCCGTCCAACGGCAGCGCCATCAATCCCAGCGAATCCGCATTCCGCCAGAGAACGTACGGTGGCTGGTCGTCGCTTCGTGCCGGAAGTACCGTCATCCTGCAACAAAACCAGTGAAACACGATCAGTTTTTTTTTGTGTCATTTGATGCCCAAGGTGCTGCATGGTACCCCATAATCGGCGAACCGAATAGTGGACCGTTAACCGTCTTCCGGCACATCTTGGTAGCGATGTTCCACAGCTTCAGTTTATACTGAAAACAGTGAAATATGAATCCAGCGTTTTAAATACCAATTTTTCAGTGATTATTGGACGTTTTACTGCAGTGTTGATCATGATTTTTTTTTTATAAATATTGAACCTTATTATTGGACGTGACCAAGAAGCTCTCGTTAGGCGCCGGCGGATAGTAGGAAAACGCAAACGTCTCCGCTTCGGGATCGGTGTGTTCGCGGTACAGAATCAGGAGGTCTACGCCGTGCGACGCATCCAGGTCGTACTCTACCTAATAGACTTCAGTTTTTCCAACGATTTTTCAGGTATTGATGCGACTGTCTCTTTACCGTACAAGGCAGCTATCCACGCCCAAGCTGAACAGGCGCTCCTTATCGCAGCCGTGCTCCCGGACGAAGCTCAGCGCCAGCACCGCGCCGATATGCGCCCGCTGGCAGCCGCTGTACCGCCATGCCGGCGACCATTCTCCGGTGTTGTTGCGATACAGGCATACCACGCCCGTGTCATCCTGGAAACAAATCAGCGGGCTAATGATATTAAATTGGTCCGTTGAAGCGAGTGTAACGTACGCCAGTGGCCAGAAATAATCCGTCGTAGGAGAAGCTGATGAACATGACCTTGCCAATCGAATTACAGAAGGAACCACCTTCTTCATCGACCATATCCAGGGATTTCACGATGCGCATTTCGCCAGTAGAAAAGCCGCACGCTGTTGAAACAAATTTTGTATATCAGCAACAACAAGAAACGAAAGAAGTCCTCGTTATAACGAATCGCGAAAATATGCCCAAGGTTAGGAAAACATACTGGTATATAAGGGAAACTACAATATATGCAGAAATTCGAAAAATTGCTAACTTATTACAGTAAAGAAAATGTCTACAACAACGTCCAGCTTTCTGCTAAGAAAAACCGAATGAATGATAAAAGGAAAACCGTCGAGGCAGAAAACATAATATAAAAATATCGGAAAAATCAACGAGAATAATTACTAAGAAAATCTTACAAGCATTCAAGCTAACTAAAATGCGCAAATTATGAGAAAAAATCATCTAAATAAATAGTGCAGACCGAGACCAAATATTCTGGTACAACAGAAATATTAAGAGAGAAAATGTTATCATAAAAGCGAAAAAAACAATTTGATAAAAAATTTGAAATTTTAGGAAAAATATTAAAACAAAATAAATAAAATTCGAACGCAAATTGTAGATGCACGTATACGCGTACGAGGCAAGCGGCAACTCTTTCCCGTCGCTTTAGTAAATTTTATCACTTTCCCCGCTGCATCTTACCCGTGTGCAGGCGCTCACGTGATACTTGATTTCAGCCGTTTCACGTCTAAACTCTAAACCGGTTTGCAGCTATAGTTGATTACGCAGACTGATAAAGAATATAGCGAAGGATGGCAGGTGAGATTTTATCGCCGGCTAAGTAAGCGCTGATTACAATGGTGAATAGATACGATATCACGTGAGCGCCCGCACACGGGTAAGATGCAGCGGTGAAAGTGATAAAATTTACTAAAGCGATGGGAAAGAGTTGCCGCTTGCCTCGTACCCAAATAAACCCCGGTTGGATCGTGTTCCAAAGCCGTTATATCGTGATACATCACGCCGCTGCAGCCCGTTCGCTGGATCCGTCGGCGCACCACCACCTTCTTGTGTTTATAATCCCAGCACGTCAGGTATCCTTCCGAACAGCCAATGGTCAGCCGCGCCGCATTGGGATGCACAGCACAGCTCAGTACCGCGTTTGCCGGTTCTTCGCGGATAATGCGGGACGTGAACTGGTCGTTGCCGGTGGTAGTAATATTGGCCACACAGTTCGTGCTGGTGCCGATGAGAAAATCGGTGATGAACGTTGGTTTGTTATCGAATTTCGTTGATCTGCGGGGCGAATGCTGTCATGGATTGATTCGTACAGATTTTTGTTGGTTAGGAGAAAACTTACACTTCTTTGTGGATAGGGATCATCGGAAAGGAAATCGTGTCGATCTGTCCCAGACCAATCGCCTCACAACTACAACACATGTAAAAAACTAAATACAACAAATTAAACAAAGTACAACCAAATCCGAGTTTACAACAGGGAATTTATTTTCTACTACAAAAAACTTTTGAAAAATGAAGCTTGTTTGCATCTGCTCACGTGTAGAGTATCAGAAGATTGGAATCGTAGAATCTGATGGTACCGTTGGAATCACCAACCGCCACAATACTGTAACATAAAGCCATAACCTTATCAGCTTTTCTCTCGAGCTGCACATGTTCTGCTTACGTTTCGGAGCACGCTAGCGAGGTGACGGCGCCCCGCTCCACGGCAGCATAGGCTTTGACCACTTCGACATATTGCTCAAACGGGAGGATCTTTCGGTGCGTGACGCGCTGGCGGAACAGGACGAGCAGTCCTTTCACCGTGCCGATGATAATGTGCGTGGTGTGCGGCACGAATACCGCGCGCGTGATATCGCCAATAGGATGATAACCCGGAATCTGTGAGGATTTTTAACACATATCTCACTATAATATATTATATTCTTTTTAAATATTTTAGTTTACAGTTTACACTGTACAGTATCGGTACGAGCCAGTTAAAAAAATAGAATTCTTCCAATTGAATCACATCAAACGGTAATTCGAAAAAGGCATATTCTACAGAAATTTTTTCAATTCTAATTAGCTTTTTAACCAAAAACTTAACTTAAAACTAAACTTAAAACTAAACTTAACTAAAAACTTAACTTTTAACTTTTTTTTAGCTGTAGATTGAGTGTACAGTTAGCTGCTTACTCGAACCGAGTTTCTGTAAAACTGACCTTTCCCAAGTCGGGCATGCAGACACGCACGGCGGATTTGGATTTCGTTGGATGCTACTATCAAAAGCAAAGGCACGGGAAATTACACGCATTATAATGAGGCTGCACTGAAGAAAAACAGCCGGTCTTTTTACCCAGTGATAGAGTATCAGCCGATCCTTACTGCAGGTCATCAGCATTTCCTGATCGGACGGATTAAAGGACAGGTGCGTTTGCAAGGTTTCCCCGTTGGGCAGTTCGTAGAACACTAGTGGCTCATCGGGGACCATCGCGCTTTGCGACGGGACTAACCATTCGTAGATGGCCAGAACCTTTCAGAAAAATTATCGTGAAAGAAACAACCGAAAGGTTACAAAAGTTTCTAAAAATTATAATACTTTGATTAACATGTTTTTGGCAAAAATAAAAAAATCTTCAATTTTTTTACAAATTTTCACTGGTTTAAATTTAATTTTTTTGTATTTTGTTTTTTGTATTTTGCGATTTTAGCTAAATACGTACTTGCCGCGAACCGGTTGATAGCATTGCCAAATACCGCATCGACGGAGCGAAACACATGGACGCGATGCCGTAGGCATCTTTCCCGCATGGCGTCGAAAAGATCTTAATAGGCGAACTGCAAACTTTTTTCGTTAACGGTGGCCCAATAAATTACTGCGGTAAACGAAACTTACGCGTTCTGTTGCAGATCCCAGACGATAGCGGCATAATCCGGCCCGGTATCCCCGGCGGCCAGCCATCGCCCGTTCTTTGTCGTGGCAATACAGGTGATATGTTGATTCTGCAGGAACATTGGTTAATGCAACTAACCACAGATTTTCCGTAGCGGCAAAACCTTACCAGTCCTTCTAACAAGATTTCTGTCGGATCCACGGCTTCCCCGTTCTGCTCGTACGTGTACACGACGCCGGTGTGTCCATTGGAATAAAAGATGGAGCGCTGAGAAGGTGTGGTTAAGTTGATGAACGGTACGTGACGGTTGATGCCGAACGTCCATTGAAGTTTCTAGAAGATCACGAAAAGTGGTAAAAATTCGAGAAATAAGAATGAGCATAGTAAAACTAATATTATCAGTAAATAAAATCGAATTACTGCTAAAAAAAAGAGTTATGATAACTTGAAGGTCAACAAGGTATTGAATCTAAAAAAGTATTGTTGAAAAAGGAATTATGATAACAGTTAAAAGGTAATGGGATTATGCCATATTTAATAAGTACCAATATGCAGCAAAAATAATAGAATTATGCGAACATTAAACAAATAAATATCGAATAAATATGAACAAATTCTACACTATGTTACAAATTGCCAGTGAAAACATTGAGTATATAAATTATTATTAGAATAAATTAAAATAAAAGCGAATTAAATAAATAAATATTAAATATGTAATAATTAATAAATTTAAATCATGTAAAATAAAATTACTAAAAACTGAGTGTATCTGCAGTTATCGCTATAATTTCCCATGTATGAGTTAGCGTGGGAAAGTTGTACCGCACCAAGAACAGCAGCATGGATTTGCTAGCGTTAAACTCCTTTAGGATCTCCTCCGCCTTCCCATCCATCTGGTGGTCCCGCTCGTACTCGCCCAGCATCTCCCGGAGGGTCTCCGGAGTCACGGGATGCAGCGGATCAAAACACGGAAAATCCTCCAACAACTGCTTAGCAATCAACGCCGGATCTTCATGCAACGCAGCATACCGCGGCACCTCCGGCGACGGCGTCTTCGTCTCCTCTTTCACCACGCGCCCCGGTCTTCCTTCCTCATTAACCCGCGGCGACCCCGGGACCGTCGTCGACACCCGGTGCGCAATCTGCAGCGAGCCACGATGCAGTTTCTCCACAAAATCCGCGCCGGCTTCTAAAATCGGCGCGATATCGAAGCCGCGCGCCAGGAGATGCTGCAGCGCCTGCTCGTCAGTGTGGCTAGTGTCGATCATGGCGACGAACTCTTTGAGCAGGTGCGGATGATGACCGCCATCGGGAGGCGGTTGGCCCTGGCGTGCCGCGTCGATATGCGGCGCCATGACGCTGCTGAGCCGGTGGACTTCTTTGCGGAGATGCTGGAGTTTGGCGGTGTGGTGGGTTAGGTCCGGTTGTTTGAGGGAGGTCTTGGCGGCGTGCGGGATGTGCAGGTTGGAGCCGCGACCGCTGCGGCGCGACGGTGTTTGTCGCATTGCGGACATGGGTTGGGCCGCTGGAATCATGCGTCGTACCTACGATAATCCATCGTACGGTGTACCTACGATAATCCGTTGTACCTACGATAATCCTTTTCGCATTGACACACTTGATTATGTTATTTGTATGCACCCTATCATATTGTTGGATCAGCTAAGATGTCTAAAGAATGTTATGACCAAAAATGCACTATAATCGGATGAGATGTAATCCGCAGATACGAGAACAATTACAAAAATGCCAGAAACTAGAAAGTACGAAGGAACACTGGCTTCCGTATTGGCATAAGTTGTTTGCATGATTTTCCTTGATATTAAGGGCATTAAACTGCGCTTCTGTAAGAAGTTGCTAAGCAATTTTGTTTAGCTGGAAATCGGGATGCGTGCGAGCTGCGATCAAACTGCTAATATCAACGCCGAAATTACTCGTAATATCAACGCCGAAATTATGCTGAGTAATTTCTGCTGCTAAATGCGTACGAGTACACCAGAAACTGTAAACAGCATTTAATATCGCGACCAGTTATAACAATTTATTTAATATTATAATGTAGGAAAAGAACAACTGCCCCTCCCAGACTGCATAGCCATCATCTTCATGAGCAGAAATCCAGGAACGTGGTCGTAGAAAGACCAAGAATATTAGCCCATGCGGATCGCACGATAGCGAATGGTGACGACAGAACAAAGCCCAACGTGGGCTGTTTTCTGTTAAACCCCTCACAACTCCTCGTGCTGGTGCAACTCTTCATCTCCCGTTTCCTCCTCAGTCGGCATCAGCCCATCCTTCCCATCCCACTCCTCCCCGACCTTCACTGCCGGCAGTTGGCCTTTCAGTGGCGCCGTGGTCTCCCCGCCCATGTACAGCGCCTCCAGGAACCGGTCGATCCCGTTAAACGAGAAAGCCCCGCGGAGCGTCGCCACCCGGCTCTTCTTCGTACTGACCGCCGCCAACGCCGGATACCCCGCACCGCCCACCCCCAGCGCCGCCTCCAACTCCGGTTGGGCGCCAGCCTCCGCCCACAACCAACCCCATTGCGTCTTCTTATATTTATCCCCCAATTTCTTCAGTATCTTCAGATAATCGTTCCGGCAGGCGGCGTTGCAGTCGAGAATATGCGGCAGGAATCCGATGACGCACAGCGGGACGTTGGTGCACGCCTCATCAAACCCGGCCTGATCGGTTAACTGAGAAACGCGGGGGCGGGGATCAGCTGCGATAACTGCAGATTAACCCATTTCTGGACGTCCTCCGCTGTCATGTCGGAGAGGTCGTAGGTGATGACGTCGCTAAGGTCCTTGGATCCGGGTGGGAAGAGCTTTAAGGTCGGGAAGTTGCCGATGGAGTAAACGTTGGCGATGACTTCTTCTGCGTCACAGTCGTACGCACCCACGTTGACTTGTCCTTGAAGGTTCTTGGCGATGGTCTCGTAAACGGGAGCGAATTTGCGGCAGTATTGACACCAGGGTGCGTAAAACTCTACCAACCAGGGTTCCTCGCTGGACACCACGGTGCTGTTGAAGTTTTCGTCGGTAAGAGTAATGACGGATAAATCTCCGGATGGCGATTCCGCGTATGGTTCACCGGAAGCGTCCTCCTCGGTGTCCGATGAGGGTGTCTCGGTGGTTTTTTGCTTTTTCGCAGATTCGGCGGTACCTTCAGTCTCCTGTGTGGCTTCGTTTAGTGAATCGTCAGCTTCCGTGTCGTCTGTAGTGTCAGCGGGTTTATCTTCGTTTTCTGCTTTCGTGACCTTTTTCTTCTCTCTTCCTTCTTCCGGATCGGAATCCTCCTGAGATCGCTTCTTCGGCTTGGTTTCAGAAGGCTTCGGATCTTCTCCTTCTTTGTCGCCTGCTTCGGTTTCTGGTTTGTCAATGCTGGGCTCTTCCTGCTTGCGTTCCTTACCTCGAGGCATTTCTCGATCGTCTACTTCAGCTTTTCGTTTCTCCGTATTCTCTTTACTCACGCTTGCTTTTTTTGTCGGCTGATTGGCCCTTTTGATCGACCTTTTCGTCTTCATGTTCGACATATTCCAAAATACTAGGAACATTTTCGGTATCTGCTGATTTCTTCGCAGCTTTTGAAGGCTTGATCTTATTGGCTTTATCGCTTTCCGTAGGCTTGGCAGGCTTCGCGTTCTCACTACCGCCTTGTTTATCGGATTCGCCTGGTTTTGTTTCACTGTCCTTCCCTTGTTGTACCGCTCCCGTTTCTTCCCCAGAAGTTCTCCCCTTCGGTTCCTGGTCACTGACCTGTTTTCCCGTTTCTTCCTCGGGCGTGTCCATAATCACTCGTGGCTCCCGCTTCTTAGCGACCTTACTGCCCTCCATCAGCTCATTCAGGGCCGTCAGCGCCGCTTTCCGCAACGCCTCCATCGTCCGCATACTCTGGTACTCGGTGGGCGCCTTCTTATCCCTCCCGAAGATCTTAATCGTCGGGTAGCCACTGATACTAAACTGCTCGGCTAACGTCTTCTGATCATCACAGTTTACCACCCCGAAGTGTACCGCGCCTTTCATCTCCGTGGCGGCTTTCTTGTACTCCGGCGCCAGTTTCTGGCAATGACTACACCACGGAGCGTAGAACTCCACGAACCACACATCGCTGCTATCCAGCACCTTCTCACTAAAATTCTCATGGGTTAAAATCACCACGTCACCTGGATCGTCGTATAAAGCGAATACGGAGTTATAAGAAAAATTGCAAAAATCAAATTCCACCACGAACGTAACACCGACGCCATTTTTAATTCAACCCGTAAAATGGTAAACTCTTACGCCCACTAAAAAAAACGTCATGACAAGTACAGTAAATCAGGCGATCGAGAAAAAAATAAAAATCGATTTTCTATGTTTAACTCAGTTCTTAGCAACTACGTCGTTTCCGTCAGCTTCTGCAGCGTCTGGATCGACGCTCGTTAAGCTAATATAGCGTTCCTGCATAAACGCCACATCATTCTTCAGCAACTCCAATTTCCCTTCGAACCTTTCCATATCGGACTGCATCAGCTCTTTTTCCCGACTGACCGATTCATACCGCAAATTCCGAATCTGCCAGATTAATTTTCGAACAAACTTTCTCCTATCTTTAGCGTCCCTTCTTCCCAGATCCGCTTTCATTATCCGCATCTGCTTGATAATCTCCTCTTTCTCAAACCCGTAAAGTTCCTCAAAATTGTCTTCATTTAATCGCTGATGCTCCAATAACATCTGACAGTTTTTCTGATCGACGAAGAACTGGTTCTTCGCATAGCTTTTCAGCCGCTCGATTTCCGTATCGATGTCGTGGATGTAAAGGTCACATTTGTGTAGTACGTCATTCTGCTGATGCACGATGTTATCCAATTCTGCGTCGCATTGCTCAGCGGTGCTTTCCGCTTCCCGTAGCGCACTGCGCAGTGCCACACGCTGTTTGGCGCACTGCCCGACAATCTCCTCCGTGGTGCGCAACCTCTCCATCAACTGCCCGGTGACCTTGGCCCGCTGTTCCACCAGATCTTCGGCCACCTGCGTCTGCTGCCACAGCAAGGATTTCTCCCATTTATCGTGGCTTTTTAGATGGAGTTTGCTCATAAAAATCTGTAGTTCCTCATTGATTTGGCTGTGGTCTTCTTTGGTGTATGTGATGGGCCGGATACTAGCAATCGGGAGGTTGTGTTCGCGCGCTACCACCGCAAGGTCCCCGTCCAGCGGAGGCGTGGCGGTGGGAGGGGAGGGTATACTGCAGTGTGAGCATTTCCAGGCTTTGACCACGGCGTGCAGGCGTTCCAGACGCTCGAGGGATTCTTTGTGGAGCTGCTCGAGACGTTGGGCAGAGATGGCCGGCAGGGGCTGCAAGGTGGTCATTATTTATGGGATGGACTGTGTACTTCGCTTCATTGTAATTGCCGTACTTCTGTATGAATATACCGGAAAAGGATCCCCAAAGCGAAAACTGGTTTGCTGTTCGTCAAGACCTGCTTGGCTTTCATACAAAATTTATCGGACTGGTTTTTTAGTGACCTTGTTGGATTAAGTTAGGATAAGTTTAACATTTTTCGTATGTACGAAAGAAAAACATAGCCGGAAAAGAGGACACCACAACTGGCAGTTTATTACGGAAAATAAATATACAGAACGTTCAGTTTTTTACTGACTTATTATTATTTATTTGAATAATGAAATAATCCTATAATATATCGTGCACAACCTCGACAAATGAGACACAATAAACGCAAAAAAATGGATTATTACTGCCTCCTCGGCTGACCCGGACCCATCACTCCCACCTTCCCGGCCGACATCCGCCGGGGCCCTCCTCCCATCCCGGCCCCTCCCGCCCGCGGCAACGACGACTGCCGGATCTGCCCAGGCGCCGTTACCGCGCCCCCGGCGCCCGGTCGTGGGGGCGGTGCGTTTAGCAACGGTCCCACACTGCGGCGGCGCTGCTGCTGCCCATCCACCGGCTCCTCACCCAGCTCCGTGTTCGGTTGGGACAACCGCTGCCCACTGAAGATCATCGGTTTGTTAGACATCCTCCGCTCCACCGGTCGCCGGGGCCCCCGCGGAGGTTCGGGGTCCTCCGCCGCCGGCGATGGTGCGGCTGGAGGTTCTTTCTTCTTCTTGGGCTTCTTCTCGGTGGTCCTCCCGGCGGATGAATAATCCCCGGACGAGTAACTCCCACTGGATGACTCATCATCACTCTCACTCCCGGAATCGCTCGCATCGTCATCATCATCCCCCAGACGACTTGACGACCCGGAAACGGTCAGCTCGAAGGTTTTCCACAGCGCCGGGACCTCCCCGATCTCCCGCTTCTTCCGCATCTGGCGCAGCTGCCCGTAAATCTTAACCAGGCGTTCCTCCAGGGCGTGCAGCGACTGTTGGACAGCGTGCTCACTGCTCTCGTCCGTCTCATCCACGGGCCCTTTACTGGTTTCCGGAACCCGGCGGGTCTTGAGCAGATTCCCCAGCGCCATGACCTCGAACGGGAAATCCATGGCTATCCAGTAGGCGTCCTTCAGCGCACCCGTATCCGCCACGACGACCAACTGCACCTGATCGATGCAGGTGATGACGTTGATGGCCAACGGGATGCGCATCCCGTGCGGCGGGGGGATCCACATCAGGAGGTCCTCCAGGGTGTACCGCTGGAGGGTCAACTGCCCCTCGGGGGCGGCCAGAGTGTTGACTAGGAGCGTACACCCGCTGTACTGCCGGTGCCACATGGCCTGGAGCGTCCGGTGGGAAAGCGCCTTCTTCAGAATTTTAAACAGGAAGTCCAAAGCGACGTGGCGGTACGACGAGCGCAGTGCCTGCATCTGGTCCCGGACCCGCCACAACCGCGGCATCCCGGCTTCCTGGCTGACGGGGAGCCGGATCTTCTCCAGGACAAAGCGGTTCCCGAGGGATACGTCGTTCAGTGTCTCGCCCTTGGTGCTGCGGAGGTCCACCGGGAAACACGCCGTAATATCCGCCGGGGTGCTGATACCGTGCAGCTTACAGTACGTCCGCAGTGTGGCCGCCAACGCCGTGAATAAAAGGTCATTAAACCGGGTCCGGGTGATGGCTTTCAAGCGGTGCATCACAGAGAGATTAACTGGCTCCGACCAGAACACTTCATAGCGGCCGCTCAAATGCATCTCCGGGTATTTAATACAGTTTAAATCCGGCGTGGATTTCGACACCAGATCCGTGAAGAACATGTACCCCGCCATGAAGACCGCTTGGCAGAAATGCGACGCGTACGTCATCCCACCGAACCGCGGTTTAATGTGCTGGTACGCCTGGTCCCCGGCGTCCAACAGATCCCGGCATAAAATCTGCACCATTGACTGCCCGTCCGTAATCGCTTGGTGGTAGCGGAAAAACAGGATCCCGGATTGCTCCGGACCGAAATCCGTCCGCACGTGCATCTCCCACAGCGGTTTATCCGCTTCGAACGGCGCGGCGGTCATATTACTGACGAACTCCATCAGTTTCTCGGTGGTGTCGATCTCCGACGGGATCTGGTGGAGGTGGTTGGCGATGTCGAAGCGCGGGGAGAAGGCGAAGAGATGCCGGGATGTATTGGGGACCGAGTACAATCTCTGCCGGAACCGCATATATAAAAACGGCGGGAACCCGCGCGGGTTCTTCACATTCAGCAGGCGGTTCGTTAGGATATCCACGAAATCCTTCATGACGATCCCGTCGCCCAGTTTCATGAGGATATGGGCGACGGGCGGCGGGATCTTGGTGTCCTTTTTAACCGGTTGCCCGATCCACAGGGCATCCAGCGCGGATAGGAGGTCGCTGGTCTCCGGCTGCGGGATCTTGGCGGCGAAGAAGGCCATAACACAGCCGACGGTGTGTCCCACCAGCAGGCACAGGATGAAGCCCAGCCAGAAGGGGATGAAGAGGAGGGCGCCGATGGCGCTGCGGGCGATGGTCCCGGCATTCTCCTTGAAGAGGGAACGGAGCGGGAGACTCTGGACCGGCGGGAGGGGGTGGTTCTGGAGATGGCGGGGTTTTGCTGCTGCGGATGGAAGGCCGCGACTTTGGTCATTGTACGGCCGGAGCCATGGCCGGGATCAGCGCGATGACCTTTGTGGAGGGAGCGTTAACAGCGATCCATGGTGCTGCTGCACAATTTGAGATAATCTACCACATGCGGGAGTTTAGACGATTTTTAAACGGATTGCGGCTCACGTTACGCAGTTTTCTGTGCATGTTTTCTGGTTATATAAGTGAAGTACAGCAGTTTACTTTTTTTACCGTCACTGTTTACTGTTAATAATGCCAATGTTTACGTTATTTGTTGCTAATCTACAGTACACGGTAATAGCATTCGAACTCGTATGTGCGGACGTTGAATTCGAAAGCAAGATGCACATACAAAATATACTGTAAAATTGTACAGTGTACATTTTCAAATTGCGCCTCGATTCTTTGGGGTTTGACGGCCATAAGCTGTTGAAATAATCTCCTCGTACGCTACTTGAAAAATACAGTATAATTATAGTACCGCCAAGCAAATAATAAGAAACTTGTAAATTTAAACTTTATGGTAAGTAGGCTAATTTTTTCATAATGTTGTAGTAATTATTGCGTAAGTGGTGCGTAATTATGAAGTCACAGGCTACAGCCGAGAATTACGTAGCAGTACAGTAATTATTTTCTTCTTGATTTAAATGGCGACATATTAGTCTGTAAAATTGATAATATTACGTATTCAAGCGCTTTCTTCACAATGGCAATCCCGCATTTCACAATAGTTATCCCGCACTCTGATAATCTTTATGTTGATGTCTGAAAGCTGGTACATACTTACATTAATCTATTTATGGGCACTATTTTTGTCTACAATAATAATATTATTATTATTCAGTATCACCAAGCAGATAAAAATTTGCATAATACGGATGTATTTCTTCGATCGTCGTTAAACTTGTTCCTCCATTTTTGGCGAATAATAACATGCTGAACTGTTATTTTCATCGCAATATTTTTGTACTAATTTTTATGTATTTGCCGTATAGTACTCAGATGCCGCAACAACAGATTTTGCTGAAATTATAACCTTGACCTTGTAACGGCCACTCAATACTGACATGTCTGCACCTAGCAACGAGTAAGGACAAATGCGGATTTCAACTGACACATGTCACGTTTTTCTGCTTGCAGGCTTAACGATCCCCGCTCGAGAACCGTCAGTGCGTCGATTATTTATGTGCAGCTCCCAAGTCAGAAAAGTCTGCCCTACCCTTGTTAGAAATACCCGGCTACAGGTCTTGATGCACCTGATGCCATCTTTCGGTTCTGTAATAAAATGACCGGGTGCTGTAACGATCAGTGTTCGATATTTTCCCGCCCGCTAGAACTGCAGCGTTGATTAATCTTTGCACAGTCTTGGCATTATTAATATAGCCTTGATTGATGCTGAATGTATCCCGTACTTGTAACTCCGCCATACCGCATAGCTAGGAGAAGAAATTTTCCGCTGAACTTGCTAACTGGATGATGTTTTCTTGCAGACACACACGAGTGACAAGCTAACCATATTACGCACTCGGCAACCACATCGGCCGCTACTGTAGTCACTTTTATGTCGTTCGCACGCGTGGGACTACATGTCGCTATTTATATGTAAGTGGGAACCAAGACAGTGTCATGTATCGCACACTATTTGCCTATTATTAAATTTATGTAAGGTATTACAATTCCCGAAACCTGCATTTCGCACTCATGCAGCGCTAATCTACGAGTTGGTTTTTATACTGTTCTAATAATTTAATGCTTCTTGCAGGCTAATAGACACTCAAATGATGCCTGGCTTCATTTTCACGACAAAATATTTCACGACCTGGTTAAAGTGCGTCAAATGACATTCGCCGAGCAGGTAACTGCCGCACATTGGTCCACAGCGCATTCAGCGCACACAATTCTCAATTTTTTAACCCTTCAAGCATCACATTCTACTCGTATTTTTGTTACGACGTTGCTGCGGCGAAATATTGCAGTGTTAGCCATAAGGGAATTCAAACCAGCAACATCATAGTGCAGTAATCAATCGGTTCGTCATACTCACCACACAAAACCGTTTCATTATTATTTATTGACAAGTGAATATTAATTTAGTCGGTCACGAACAAGAAATCCTCAGGTTCTGAAGACCAAGCACGATTTTGCACAAAATCACCGAATTCAGTGTTCCGTGGTTATTTCGCAGTGAACTTTATGCATGATGCCGGTATGCATGATGCAGCTTCTGATTAATTCCGCTTGGCTGATTTGTACCCTTGCTGGTGAAGTCTGCTTTGCATGACGCTTTGATGCTGTACGGGCTGCGGACGCTTGACTGCTCAGCAACCACAGAACAAGAGACAGTCATGATTCACAGCAGTTTCTGTAAAAGTTCCGCAAAGACACGCATTTGACGCGAGGCCATAATGTTACTAAGAATCGGCGTTGCTTTATCAACTAATGTTTACCCAATGTACAAACACCACACTAGCATGACGATGGCCGGATATGAACGGGACTAATCGCCACATTACCGTGATTACTGCGCCGCCCGAAGGGCTGTCTGTTCACCACAAACATAATCACTGAAGTTGCTTTAAGTCGGCACAATCGAAGAAAATTCCGTAAGGTGGAGAAATGTCTTGTGCCGATAGTTTCTAGCTTCAGAATTAAATTTCGATGTGCGGCACGGCAGTGCAACCACCGGTATTTGCGTTGAACACCCAACAACCGAACACCACCATTGAACACCTATCAACGGCTCTACACGGGAAAACAAACAGGTACGTTGAAATTCTGTAGAGCGGTATGGCGAAGTTCGCTTTAATCCAGTGCAGAACTTACAGCTTCCAACTGCATCAATTTTGAATAAACCTTTCGTCCCCGCGTTTTCGCGCAATAACAGCAAAAGGGAGCGTTTATCGTAATTTTAAGTGTTTTTCCATCTGGTTTGCTGTCGTTGGACTGCATTACTCGCTCATCGTTAGCGTGTTAGTCGAACACGAGAATCCATTGCAAACTCGATTTCTCTGAACATTATTCGCTCTGAATGACTATACGGGCTCCCAGAATTATGTAATCATCACTGATATCTGTTGTGTCATTGTGTCCCCTGTATTATCATGCCGCTGCTTAAACTATGGAGGCTACAGTCAAAGATGATCAGCACCCATGATGTGACTAATACGGAAAGTAATCCTAATCCGCTCTCGGCATCCTTGTGTCCCTGATTGGATTTCGGCAGACTGGTTACATTCGTAACATCCATGCTGTCGGTGCCGGGTGGTAAAGGGAACTTGTAGCCCGGCGGCATCCATTCGAAAGGCGGTAGAGTCGGCACATTGCACAGGTAGTAATCACACAGACACACCCAACCGCTATGTCCAAAACGATCAACGTTCTCAAGAAGCATACAGGCTGGCGGTACCATCTTAGCGGGCAGCGTAATGCCGAAAGGCTTGCCACATCAGGAATAACTCAAATTGCCAACGAAGTCCCGGTTACGATAGTACACCGCATAGCACAACTTTGCCTGCGTTGTCTCGTTTATGTCGCAGGAATCGACACATGAGCTGTTGGCTACATCCTGATACATACATTAGTAGCAGTTCATCGACATTCCCCATGGTACCAGCGCCGCCGTGATCAGAAGAACACTGCCAATTCCCTTGGGAATAATCTTGTCAAGTACGCTCATGGAATACACTAAACTGCAGACCGTCTGATTCCTGAGAAATTTCCGCCTGATTCCAAAGTACAGTGAACATGCAAGCGCTGGTATACGACTTAATAATTAAAATGTAAACATTAAAAACTAGGTGTTATTGCAGTAATAACAAGCGTTTCTGATCTGCTGTCGATACGCCATTTTCTTTCAGCAACTCCTTGTTAGCAATAGAAATTGTAATTAAAAATAATTATGATAAAAAAAGCATTGAGTTTGGTAAAGTAGTCCGCACGAAGTGCTTTTGGTCGCATGCGTTTTTGGCAAGATTTCTGCCGTCACTAAACGAATGGGACCGGGCTGGACATCATCGAATGGAGGTGCGTACGAAGAGCAGATACGTAAATACAGTCGCAACTCTGAGAATCTCGGCGTTGTGCTGACTGGGTCACCGTGGAGTGGGTATGCTCACCGATGAGCACCGCAGCCATCTCTGTACTACGCATACGTATTACATACGGCACTCCATGCGAACAGAAGGTATTGGTATGCCAAATTGAACTAGTAATGGACTGAAACGCGAAACCATTGTCGGATTTTTACAGTTTTTTTTGTTGGTACGGTCAAGTTTTCGATCCACAAGGGCATTAATGGTTGCAGACGGTTCTGACATTGTAAAATAATTAGATATAGGTCCTCGTGGTGCTACAACAACATCACGCTTCTAAAACGTTGTTGGAAGAAAATCTCAATAAACTAGGAAAGCGATCTAGCAAATACTTGCTGGATGCGCAAGAGTCGGCGTCGCACAAGCAGTGAGCCAGTGACATTAGGACATAATCTGGAACCGGTTCGTGCGGGATGGCACAAATATACTGTGAAACCGTGGCTGTTATTCCATCGACCGAAAGTATGTTTTTGTGGTTTGTCAAGTCTGGCAGGAAAAATCACCGAGGATCTTCTTAAGCACCAGAAATTTACGTGTTGTCCTCCTGACAGCGGAACACAAATTTCTGCTGTTATAGCCAGGCTTCAGAAGAGGTGCAGAGAACCAGGTAATGCTGCCACGAACGTCCGACCCAAGTTTGCTTTTTTCGGTTCAGGTCACGCCGCATTACTCGCACAAACACTTGGCTGGCGTTCCATAACATATGCCAAGAACACTGCCCTTGCGTTTGCACCACTCATTGCAACCATTCGGGTCATCCTCCCGGCAGAACCGGTGTGGGGTGTAGTCTATTGCTGCAACAATTCTGTTCAGATTCAATGCTCTTATTTCAGTGTATTTTAATGTATTTTATCTTGCGAACCAATCCCACATCCTACATAACCATTGAAGATAATCTTATCGCAACCAATAAATCTTCATATCTGGTTTTTATTAGAAAAATACCAGAAATTACTAGAACAAAGCGATAATAAGAACACTCTTTTACGTAATGCACTTTTCTCTGTGTGATTAATCTACGTACCCATTTAGACTTTGTCATCAATATTGTACTTTTGCCAATTCATACCGGCTTGCTTTACGCTACTCACACAAATTACATCCATTTCTACTGTTCCGCTCTGCCTTATTCTTTACTTTGTCGTATAGCTAATAAACTCACTACTACTCGAATGACCTTTGGCCCGTACGTGGTATTTTTATCTGCCTGACAATGAGTATTTCGTAGCAACTTCGTACCCCTTTCTTCCTATTCGAAATTTCAGAATACGGTTATTAGAACGATTATTACTTATATGTGAAAACACAGATACAGTCATGGATCTACGTAAAAAGCGATATAACTTTCTTGAATTTATTTTTTGGTCAAAGTTGTATAAGAAGCCACTTTTTCTACACGCCATATTGATTGACATCCAAATAATAACTAAATTAAGTACTTATAACAGTTACGTACTCGGTGGAGCGGTTTCTCCTGGGATATCTGGATAATCCCGACTATAATCCCGAGTTGGGTCCGGAAAAGTAGATACCGTTGAGCACAGTAGTAGAATCCAAGTAAAGAGCTGCATGATTATGGACTTCTTCATCATAAATATTTACTGAGTTTCTGAACTGCACAGTATTTACTGGGCTTGTCTTGCTGGAGTGCAAACTGAGCCCAGCAACCGGACGCAAAATCTACCGAGCAATAATCATTAATCAATTGCTGAACATACTGATTCTTTACGCGGTCCTACAGTTTACCCTGTATGTTGTTGCGCTGCTTCGTTGTTTAAAGACTCTTATTAACAAAACTTTTATTTGAAATGCTTCACATCGCCTGTTTCTGTGCTTTATTTAGCTGCTACACCAGATTAAGTACGAAAAAAAACAGAAATAACCAATCAACTCGGCGGTTAAAAGCTTTACAGAAAATCGATCAATGAAATCGTGGACATTCTCGAGCGACCATGATGCGGACAGGATTTCAACGAACTGCTCAACTGCAAGTTTGTGAAACAATCCGCGAAGGCCGCACCATCTGTTCTATTCCATAAGAAAGCCATACAGTAATCAGCTTTCGTCTTTCTCGCTAATGTTCGACTGCTCATAAATATCATCGATCAGCGACTCGTACTTCTTGGCAATAACTGACCGGCGGACTTTCAGCGTAGGTCCTACAACAAATTTCGGCTGGTTAGAACATTTTCCATTAGGGCGGATTAATTACGCGGGCAGTTATTCCGAACTGCATGCACATTCAGTTACTGTGTTACGAATGCACTGAAGTAGAGCGTACCGAGTTCGCCACCAGGAATACTGAAATCCACCGGGAGGATGGCGAACTGATTGATCCGCTGCGCCCGACTGACGGCTTTCTCGTTGACCGCTTCCAGGGCCGTTGAGATGGCCTCGCGCAGCGGTTCGGATTTTCGCGCTTCCTCCACGGTTGTTATCGTCGCACCGCTTTTGGCTTTTATCCTGCAAATATATGCAAACTAATACCAATATATCATAATATCTTTTGAATTTACTAAGGTAAGTAATAAATAGTTAATCGAAGGTTCTCTATAACATTATTCAGAAACTATGCTGTGTTCGATTTTTCTACGTCACGCTCAGTAATGAAAGATACTATAACTCCAAAAAAATGTAAACAGTTGGAAATGATTACGGTATGTTACCAAACTGCTATTTATTTTATTAATAATATTACTATTAAATTATTATTATTATCTACTACGGTCATGTGACATTAAAAAACCAATTTATTAAAAGCTAGGTAATTTCTTAATTATTGAGCATTGTTTTTGGCTACAGTGACTTGATTATTCGGTACATACCACGCCCGTGTGGTGTCCGTCAGCATACTCAACGGTTGACCTTTCTTCAGGTCCATCTCTGACTTCAGCGTCAGCAGCACGGCAATAAAGCGCCGTTTATCGCCAATCAGCATGGCATGACTCACGATGGGTAGGTGCTCCTTGATGCGGTCCTCCACGGGAATGGGAGACACTTTCTCGCCGCCGGCCGTCACGATGACTTCCTTGATCCGTCCCGTGACAAACAGGTAGCCGTCTTCATCCAGCATTCCCATGTCGCCGGTTTTGAAGTAGCCCTGCTCGTCGAAAGCGTATTTGGTCCGCTTCTCCATTCCCAAATAGCCCATGAAAATGTGCCGCCCGTACATGCAAATCTGCAACAAAAATATCTAGCGTAATCAATCGTAGTAGAATTAATAATTATTAACCAATCTGCATTTAGAAAATTTCAGAATTGTTCACGATTTTGAAAAACCTAAGTTTGCCTTGTTATTTAAGCACTTTAAAAAATTTTGGTTATTCGTGTTGCGTGTAATAAGCAACAATAATTATTGATGGTTAGTTATTAATTTGTAACAGTTACTTTTATATTCAACAATATTATTAACCATGTTTTTACTTAGGTATTTTATATGAAAAAATGTTTACTCTTGGCAAAATTGAAGCTGCAAAAATTTAAATTCCTGACGAATGAAGAAAAACACAATAATTACTTCGCCGACGCCATCATTATTCGGTTCTTTGATCTTTGTTTTCGCTCCGGTTAATGTTTTTCCGGCAGAGCCGAGTTTGAATTCGCCGGGTAAATTCAAGGAGTGAGGCGCTGTAACGAGCCAAAGATTATTTTAACGGTTCAGACAAAAAGGCGAGATGGCACGTACCGGAAGTTTCGCTTAAGCCGTAAATGTCATAGATGGGAATATCCATCGAGAGGAAGAACTCCTGTGTTTCCGGCATCAGCGGCGCGGCACCCGAGCACGTATGCGTGCAGCGGTCTAAACCCAACCGATTACGGACAATCTTGTAGATCCAGCTGGTCCACAGCCATTCCAGGGGAGGTGCCTTTCTGACAAACAACCTTGTTAGTGCAATCGACTTTTCCCTTACAAACAGTGAGAAAATCGCGCTTCCTTGAAAAATAGGATCGCTTCGCTCGCGGGTGTGCACCAGCAGCAAAGACAGTTTAGATTTTTCTGAATTAGATTCGCTTGTTTGAAGATCTATTTGTCTGTCAAATAGAACGAGCCAGCGAAATTAATCCAGAACGAGCGAAGCAAGTTATTATTCTTTAAAGCGGCCGCAGAGTGAATAAAGCATTTAGCGTACCCGATCTGCCGATTGTGGAACGCCTGCATCCCGACCTTCTGCGCCCGCTCAAACAACACATTCAACACCGCCCGATTGGTCATCGCCGCGCGTATCTGCTCTTCCATCTTCTCCCACACCCGCGGCACCCCCACCATCGCCGTGGGCTTAGCCGTCCGCAGCGTATTGACCAGACTGTTCTTATCCTTCAGCGCATTAGGCTGGGCGAAATGCACATGCCCACCAGTGACAATCGGGAGAAACACGTCCGCCAGATAGGCAGCTACATGACTCAGCGGCAGATAACTGACGAACGTCTGCTTCCCGGTGATCTTGGCGTCGCGGATAGCAGAATTGGCCGTCCAGATCAGATTGTCGTGGCTGAGCATGGCGCCCTTGGGTACCCCCGTGGTCCCCGAGGTGAAGATGACGGTGGCGCAGGTGTTGGGGGCCATGGCGGCCTGGCGACTGTCCAGGATGGCGTCGGACACCGTCTCGCCCAGGGCCATGAACTCCTCCCAGCTGTAGATGTCGCGGACCCGGCGGTCGGGTTCCCCGGTGTACTGGATGATGGCTTTGATATCCGGGAGCTCGGAGCGGTATTTGAGGATCTTCTGCAGCTGCATGTCGTCCTCGACGACGACGATGTTGGCGCGGGCGGCTTTTAGGACGAAACGGCAGGCTTCGGGGGTGTTGGTGGTGTACACGCCCACGGATAACCCACTACCAAACCACAAAACGACAGCAAATAAAAATTCCATTATTGTAGCAATGTCGTTTTCTTCCGCGCCTGTAACTAACTCCGCATATTCTGGGTATATAAAACACTAAAAATATCTGCAACTGGTTTTTAATTTGGCATAAAATTGAGCATTAGCGTTAGGTGAGGAAATGACCTTTCTGTAATTCTAATTTTTTTTCTTTACGAAAAGTTTTAATTACTTTTTCGTATGCAACATTACAGGAAATTAAGGACAATTTCCCTTTAGCAAAAAAAAGACAGCGACAGCATCTAAATCTGTTTCCACTTCAGAGCAAAGGTCATGATAGTAAAACATGTGGACTTACCCAGCAAATATCGCTCCGAGATCAGAGATAACCCATTCGGGCGCATTAAAGCCCAGCGTGGCGACGCTATAAAATGGTTTTAATCCTAGTTTGATAAAGCCTTTGGCGGCCGTCCGCACATCTTGGATATACTCGGCATACGTCCACGTTGTCGTCGTCCCACCGCGGTACATAGTCAGGGCGGGCGACGACGCATGCTCCTCCGCTTTCTTGGCGAACCATTCCGGAACGATCAACGCTGGCTCAGCATCAGCGGCTGATCCACTGAAATCGATCAGTTTTTATACCGAATTTCCAGAAATTCATAGCGGGATAACGTAACAATGTTGTTATCAAGAAAATGGGAGAAGTTACAAGGATAACAACGAACCTGCTTAAACGGAGTTTAACAGGCACATGTGGCTCATGCGTGTACAGAACTTTTGCGGGCACGCATGTTCCAAATGCCGAACACTCGGCGTCGTTATACCGGTGGCAACTGGTCGATAAACATCGCACAAAGTCTTTCCCATGATACGCACGCAAACTGAGAACGCGGAGACGATAAGTCTGCACCGGGGCGTTATGCAAAATGCGACATATCGGAGTACCCCGCAGAAAACGATGGGTGAACATACTGAAGCATCTTCACAACAGACTGTGCAACGACGCGGCTGTCGTAAGCTGCAACTGTTCCATGACAACTGTCGATTCGATTACGATTAACGTACAGCAATTATAAACAGTAGCTGTAAATAAATGACGATCAGAGTAATTTAAAATACTTGCCAAAAAAAATGTTATTTTGATTTCAATCGTTACGATGAATCAGGCAGGTGTTTCCCATAGTTCAGCGAAATATATTACGCTTTTGGCAGAGGAACCGCTCGAGCAGGATTTAAATCTGGAAGAGAGTTTTGTCAACACGGCTCTAAAAGGAACGTGTCCGTCTGTATCGGAAGCCGTACAGCCATCCATGGCGGATATCGCACTAGAGAACCTGACGGAGCAGGTACGCGAGCTGAAAGATGTTAACGCACGTCTGATGTGCTGCATCGTAGAGAAGAACAACGAAGTCAAAGCGCTTAGGGAATCACAGCCTAAATCGGTAGGTACGTTCTTTTAGCGTGCAGTTCACTGAAAGGTAAAATTTATCAGTAATTTTATATATGTCAATATATGTATTTATATGTGATAAAAATTATTTAGCAATTTCACAAACTTCCGTTAAAATCTTGATTTTACCTTTATCATTAGATTCAAATCCATCAACATTCAACAGTATTATATTTTATCACAAAATATCTAAGTGTTGCAAAATTAGTTTCAGGATTCCTTATAATTTATTCTTACAATTTTTAAAAAATTCTTACTATTTAAAAAAAAACTGTAACTGCGAAGTGTTGGCTAAATTGTATACTGTATTTATTGCATTTCCAAAACGCAGTAACACTACCACTGATTTAGACATCTTGGCAAGCTACGGTCGTATACCGTTTTACACATTAAATTTCCATAAATTAAAGATCCCAGTGAACTCAACGCGACGGGAGCAAAGGTCGTCGAATTAGCCAAAGCCAAGCGCGATGTCACCGCGAAGTACGAAGCGGAACGTACCAAAGTTCAGAAGCTCCTTCAAGAAAAATCGGCGCTTCAAGCCCATAACGAGCAACTGGAGGAGAAGCTGCGACAATTCTCGCTGCCAAAAGTAAAGCACAACTCACGGTTATACTGGAGACTTTGCTTCCTCTTTAATTCATTTCCAGGAAGCCGTTCCGGAAAAGGTCAAAACCTCCATCAGCAGCAGCAGCAGCTCCATAGACCGGCATCATCGTCGACAGACGGCGCTGGAGAAGTGCTCCGTCGCCACACACGAAGCGACGCTGCTCAAACAGAACAACGCCAAACTGCAGCGGCTGCTGGAGCGCGAATTAGGCCCGGACGCCGATGTTAATCTCCTGCTGCGTGAGGACCATCCCACGTTCCGTGGACGCGACGAGCAGATCCAGTTACTCAAAGGCAAAGTAATTTTCCGGCATGTTTTTAAACAGTGCAGATTATCCCATAACATATACCAATTGAACGACGATGACTAGTGCCGCAGCAAATATCTGGGAAATATAACGCGAAGTATCAAGAATTATCCGAGCGCGAGAAATGTTCAGTGTAAGTTTCTCCTAATGCATCCGAAATCCTGGATGCTAATTATTTTTCAAAACAAATTTTTTCTAGATTTATGTAGTGTTTTGCAATTTTTTTAATGTAAATACGTATTTGCATTTATTTACAGCAAATCAGATCCAACTACTTTCTTTATCTTAGTTATCTGTTAATTCAACCGAACCGCTATTTCAACCGAATTATTCAACCGAATTATTTCAACCGAATTATTATTTCAACCGAATTATTTCCCGCCTGATTATATTTATTTCCAGTTAATTTGTTAAAATCCTTTAAGGAAATTACGGAGAAGAACGCCTCTCTGCAAAAGTCACTCACCGATGCGCGATCGAAGCTGACCGCGGAGAAAGCGCGCAACGAATACCTGAGCAAGGAAAACCTCCGCTTAACGCAGTTCAACAAGCACGTGGTGGAGACTTGCAAGAAGGACGCCGAGCTGATCCAGTATTTCCAGACCACCATCACCGAGCTGCGCAATGCGGTGCAGGAGACCTCGCCAATTACACTGCCATTGATTCCGCCGCTTAAAGATCCGCCGCAGAGCGCCGACCTGCAAAAGAAAATCATCGATATGGAGAAGCAGATACAGGAACTGAAGCTGACCAACCATGCCTGCATAAACTCGGTACGCAACACAAAGGTCACCACATCCTTGCCAGATATCATTGCAAAGCGCGGAGATTGTGATACCATTTCGTGTGATTCGCTGACAGAGTAGGTAAGCAGAATTCCTCAGAGCAAAATTATTAGTTGATTTGATCGGAATCTTGTTGAAGTTTACCGGAAAATTCGCTGGATGAACATGTCCCGCGTAACGCACACATGGATGCCGGTTTATTTACTCCGTTTTACGAGACTCTTCGGCTTTGCAAGGAGTACGTCGAAGTCTTGTCCGATCGGTAAGTTTATAAATTTTTTGTTGTAGCGAATTATTAAATTGTTTAAAAGTATTCTTGAAAACGGTCGTAGACTAGTAAAAGCGGAAAGCAGTTGGCAGTTCGTGACGGATGAGTTCAACATCGAACGGGAAGCCAGCAGTGTTCTGCAGCTGCAAATTCGTCATTACCAGCAGGAGCTGGAGCAGTGTAGCGTGGAGCGGCGCCGAGGATTCCGGCGGACATCAAAATCCCATGAAACTGTTCAACACGGCGTACATGTTCAATAAATGCGATGCTTTTGCGTACCGTTAGTTTTTTTTTAATTGTATTTTGTTCCGCAGAAACCTTGAATTTCATGGCTTGAATTGGCTTGAATTTCTGTAGTTCTAGCTTTCAAATGGGATATTGTGGCTGCGTATGCAGCTGTTGGGCAGCAAGAATTTCGGACCTTTTTTTGGACAGCAAAAAAATTACTAAAGTCGTATGATTTTTTACAAGGCCAATTTCGTGCGTCGCTTGTGCGCAAAACAGATTTCGGCTGAAAAACTGGTTTACATGGAGGAGCTATCGCAAACGCTTTCTAACTTTGTACAACAAAATGACCTTTTATTTTGAAGGCACGAGTTTTTGTTCTAAAAATTGTCAACATGATTCACAACGGAAACTACACCTACACCGTTACTCCGTAACAGAACAGAAAAAACGAAAGTGTAAATTCCAAGATAAAATTTTATGACAGTACAACGCTACGAATGTGGTCTTTTATCACCGGTTGGGTAGGGAAGATTTCGTCGGTGTCTGTACAGAATTTACGGGAACAGATTTAGTCGGCGTCTGCCCAGAACTTCCCGGCCTTGCGACCTCTGTTTGCGACATTCGCCCGCCGGGCCGCACAAAGAACTTGGTGATCCTGCGGAACGCTGATTGACTGGGCTTTGACTCCATATCAATCCCGACCTGATGCAAAATCGCAATGCGCTCTAGCAGCGCCAGCTCCTGCATTAAATTGTGGCGCTGGTCCTTCATCTTCTGCAGCGCTTGCACATGCTCCAAATACTCCGCCTGTTTGGTATTCAACTGCAGCATACTGTTGTTGATCTTGTCGATATTCTTCAGGACCTTGTTCAGGTTCTCACTGGTCTCCTGCGCCACCTTGCACAGCAGCTCCATGCCGAGTTCGCCAAAATCGGGTTCCTCGTTGTCCGATTCCTCATCGGTCTCTTGTTGGTCATCGATAAGGAAACGGACCAGTTTCTGACCGGCGGCTTTAATATAGGCTTTCTCCGAGTCGATCTCCACCATCAGACGCCGTAGTTGCGCGTCGAGCTGGTCGCGGAGTTCACTCTTGACAGCCAGATCGATTTCCAGGTTGTGCATGGTTTTACGGTTCTCCAGGGCTTCGGCCAGGAAGCGTTGGGCTTCGAGGCGCAGGCTGTCCTGCTCGTTTTGCAAAATAAGTTGTTTCTCGGTATCATTTTGCGGGGCGATCGGATTGCGACCAGTCAACTGGGCAAGATTTAAAGGAAAATTCATTATTGTTTATTTTGATGGATGATGTCTACTGTGCGGATTGCACCCGCTACTCTATAATATTACACCATGTTGTTGTTGTTTGCGTTGTAGCCATGGAAAACATGTGCCGCGGTACGCACATATCGTCAGATGTACAGTACTTCAAATACGTACAGTACTTCAAAATTTGAAGTACTGTACGTTTTTTAAGTACTGTACTATGTATTACGTACATACATAATAATCGACCGGAGCGTAGCGAAGGTCCTCTTAATTCAGCGCAATTGCAAAAATGTTTCTGTGTCCGTTACGAAAGGTTGTTACGAAAGGTCATTACGAAAATTTTGCACGTTGGTTAAAGTAAGTCAAACTTATTGATTATGTTAATTGTTAGGAGTTACTGGTAGTATCGTAACGAAACTGCTGCGCCAACAACAGTGCACGCTAACGTGCATTTTTCCTAGTAATAATATGTATTTCGTATACATATTATTATGTACAGTACAGTACTATTATATACAGTATACTTCAATAATTATATATGTACAGTACTTCAAATACGTATTTTTATTACTATCAATTTTTTGTTTTATTAGTGAATTTTGTTTTGGAAAAATAAAACACGTTTTATTAAAAGAATTTTTCATGATGTATACAGAGAGCAGGTATTACAAAGATTTAATTCTGTGTGACCAACAACACCGCCACAATGTTCGCAGATTCTCAATGAATCCAAATAGTTATCACCAAATAAGTTCGAGTCAAAATAGGTACCACCAAATAAGTTTTCTGCTGTTTAACCGTATTACTAGAAAGCTAACTAGAAAAGCACCGCTAGAAAAATAATTTATGGAATCAAGGCAAGAATTTGTAGACAGAGGATAAAAGGATGCATACACAAATTTAAAGGTCGCGCTATTTGATTTCGTCGATGTACGACAATCGGAAAAGCTCGCCAAAATCAGGTGCTTGCTTCTGAATTTCCAGTAGCCATCAATGCAACCCAGCGCGGAAAAACCATAACGTTTTCTTTCGACTAATCAACGGTACAATATGGACGCCGAAAACCTATCAACTACGCTCGGTTTTAAGGAGCGTGACCTTCTCCGTCACCGTCTCTCCGTCTAATAAGAACTGTGCCTTAAAATCCAAAGCTTGCGCCCCGGCCGCACCGCGGATCGTCTCCACGGCCTCCTTGCACGTGCGCTCATCGTTGCAATACAGCCGAAATATCACCGTCTGCGCCTGATTCCCATACGATTGCCAGCGATCTACCTGCTGCAAGGGTGGTGGTAATTGCATTGGCGCCATGCGGACACTCTCCAGAGGCAGAATACTAAGCAGGAACTTGGGCGCGCTTGAGTGCTTGCTGAGTCTCTCGCGGATGTACTCCTCATAGGCGGGGTTCCACATGACCACCGGCATATGGAGCTCCCATTTGTTATTGAAGGGATTATGTCGGACGCTCAGTTCTCTAACATCCAGAAATAAGGCAGGCGCATAAAAGTATCGAGTCATGGTGGATGGGAATTTCGCGGTCTTCTTCGGTTCAAAAACGTAGATGTGGTGTTTGGTATCGTTGAGGACCTTTACGAAACTGTGCACCACTTCGTATCCCTCCAGCGTGAAGAGCGATGTGGGACGGTTCTCGGCAGCAGCAGCTGCAAAAATTTAAAATCTTCTCGTCATTACACTCGTGGGTAATGTAAAACTTTCTTAATATCTCCGAGGTTATTTCAAGACCTCGTGCAAAGAAAGAATTCAAGCTGTACGCACCATGTGAAAGGGCGACGAATGCAGCGATGATAATGAAGAATGTAAGGTAAGCAGCGTCCATGCGCGTTATTAACATGGTTCTTTCGTACGATATTTTGTGGTTTAGAGAACAAATGTGTGGATAATAACTGTAAGTAATGGTGCAATCGGAAAAATATTTCCCAGGATCTCAAAAATTTTAGAAGCAACGCGACAGTGAATAGATTTCCTTTAGCTGTTTTCCTCTAGCAGAAGGGTGACAACATTTACTTTCGACGTCGACTGTAACATATTTAGCATCGCTCGTACATACTGCATTAGTACGCATAATACATACGCACAGAATTTCTGCATGTATGAAGTATGCGAGATATTCGTTTATTGAAACGGTTGCATAATACATACGCACAGAATTTCTGCATGTATGAAGTATGCGAGATATTCGTTTTATTGAAACGGTTGCATATACACGCCATTTCGGAAATATGACACCAACATGCGTATTCCCGAATAGTAAATCTCATCACCATCTTGTGGTTTAATACCATAACAGTTCACCCCGTTGACAAACGTCTCATTTATCCTGCCATCACTCGGATTCGGGATAACTTGAATGACTTCCTGTAGCAGCGATGCCTTGACTCGGTTCGGGTCGCTGATACACACTTCCGGCGCGTACGTCTCTTTTACTCCATCCGCAAAGCAGTTCCGGTTGGGATAGACTGCCGTCGCCCAAGCCGAGCCTTCGGGCTTAATGTGGCCGAGATTACACCAGTTGGCGCCGTTCACCCACGCCTGGCGCATATCGCGGGCGGTGGCCAGTCTGCTGTTGAAGGCCAGGCACATGTGGGCGGCGTGCGCCGGGTTGAACCCGGCCGATGTGACATTGGCCCGCACGAAGAACACTTCACGGACGTCCTTCCCGATCCCTAAACGACTCGTATCGTCATCCTCGGTCTCGGAGTCTTCGGTATCCTGCGTAACCGGGGTTGCTTGCCCAAGGTCCAGATTGATATTGGTCCGCATAACCGCCAGGACGGTCTGTAGCCGAATCGAACTGGTCTGGAACGTGGTGCGACTGACCAGCGACGCGAGGTTCAATCGTTTCAGACTCATAGTCTTCACTTCGAATTTTTCCCCTTGAAACTCTGAGAAATTGCGACTCTCCTCGAAATACTTGTTGAACTCTTCCTGGGCTTTAGTGTCGTTAGTCTGGGTGGACTGCGGTATGCAGGCCTTCAGCGTGCCGGATACATCACGCTCCTTATCCTTCGGTTTCGCCGTCGTGTTTGTGGGGGCGGTCGTTGTTGTCGGCGAATCCTCGTCATCCTCCTCCTCCTCTTCGGTGGTGCCGGGAGGGTGAGTCGGACGGGGCGGCCGGGTGGGAACCGGGGTGGTAGTGGTAGTGGTGGTGGTGGTCGACCGGGTGGTGGTCGTAATCGGCTTCGGTTCTAGCTGCATAACATTGGTATTGCAACCACAAATATAACAACTGCACTGGATTGGCGGGCATCCACAATCCCCAGCACCTCGCTTGCTGCGCATATGGTGGAATGGATCGCTAAATCCGACATCGGTGCCAGCGTGCCATAGCTGTTTGGACGCTTCACCTTTGCCTTTGTCTTTATCCTTGCCTTTACCTTTATCTTTGTCCTTATCTTTCCCGCTCTGGTACTTTCCCGTTAGGTTAAAGCACAGATTCGTCTCATCCTTCCTTAGGTGCGCCTCCTTTATCAGCAACTGCGATTCGCGGTCCAGCTTGGAGTACGCTTCATTCAGCCGGTAGGTTACTTTATCCGGTCGGGCATTCTCGTCCTTCCAGAATACCGAACGCCATTTGGCGGCGTCAAAGTTCTTGCTGGATTCCGTGGACAGCTCCAGTGCGCTCTCAATCAACTGCATCAGCTTGGGTGAGCTCTCCTGATCCACAAAATCCGCATCGGAAATCTCCGCCGCCAAGAGGTTAGTAGCGATTTCGGTCGTCAGCTCTTTGGCATCCGCGCCGCTCAGGTACACATCCGTCGAACCGGTAAAGCGGGTCCGCAGTTCGGAGAACAATTTTCCCGTACTGATAAACTCCACATTGACCGTCAGTCGGCGGGCGCTGCTGGTCTTCGACTGCAGATTGTAGTACATCACCAGGTCCGATAAAAAATGCTCCGGGTCACGGGTAATATCGTCCTTTAGATCCAGGCATTCGTTCTTCGTGGTGCAGAAGAATCGGAAGGGTACGTACATCGGTGCCATAGAATAAGGACGCCAGTCGTTGTCTATCTCGTAGGTTTTGCTCCAATCCGGCGAAATCAGATCAACACGCACTTCCTCAATAGGGATGATGCGTAGTTTTGGGTTCGGGACATTGAGCCGCTCCGAAATCTCTCTCCGAATGTGTGCCACGTAATCTCCATCCCACATCAGGATCGAGAATTCCACTTGGAATTTTCCAGCGAATTTATTGTTGGAGCTAACTGCCGAGGAGACATTTAGAATGGCGGCGGGAGTGTAGTAGTACAGGTCACGGCGCGCGGTTAACGGATTTTCGTTGACGGAGGGCGCGGGCTCGTAGATGAGAACCCGGAAGTTTTTGTAGGGTATGGAGAGACGCGCAGTACGCGTGGGTTCGAAGCGTCCCCAGTATATTGCAGTCGGGTCAGCGCCAGCTGAAAAAATTCACAACTGTTTCAAGAAAAACAAAACCTACAAAACCAAAAATATGTAATGAGAGAACCTTCAGCGTTAAATTTTTCCCACGCTCTTAGTTTGATAAATCTAAATGTGACCTTTTTCTCACGATAAAAAAGTACGTAAAATGAAATTCTGACGGTACCTCGAATGCTAGCACTTCTGTTGGAGTTATGCCTCGATCCTGAAAGAAAAAAAGCTTAAACAATCAGCGCATTAATTTGCTCGTTTCTTTGCAAGCATTCCCGTTAACTAGGAGTCTATGAGCAGCAACTGGAACGCAGCTCGCAATCAAAACATTAATAGGGGAGAACCTTTAACAGCGTAAAAGTCCAGCGTATATTGCACAACAAATGAGTGACAAATATTTTTGAGTTTTACCATCAGTCTGTGTTGGCGAATCGTGCTTTGTGGAGTTTAAGGCCACAATAACACTCAGTGCAATATTAACCGCCAATGAGCAAAGGAGTACCCCAGGGACGACATAATAGAAGAGAATCACCGCCGTTCTATCTGACAGAAACCGCATTACTACAACTGGGTGGAGTACCACAAGCGTTTACTGGCATTACTGGTTGCCTTCCTGTGCAGAGCTAATGTTTCCATAGATGGTAAAATTTAATTAATACTCGTACATAGAAGGAAACGTAAACACTGTCAAATACACGTACTGCACCTTGTACAGTTGAACTTGCAAACTATAGTACCGTAACAGAAGGCATGCCAAATATGCGTACAGCCTTACAAGTATTGACTGCGCCAGCGCGCAGCTGTTAGAAATTGACTAAATTAATTTGTAAAAGATAATTTTGTCTCTAATTTTGTGGTGGCAGTTTTCCCAAGCCAAATCTGACAGAGTAAGCCTTATATGACAAGGTTGGCAGTCCGAGGGGATCAGCGAGGGGACGGGTAATCCGAAGTCCATAATTAGTATATCATGGAGGCGGCTTTTGGGTGGAATTCAACCATGGTCTACACTTCAAGCGCCATTAGTGTAAGCACATCTACTGCACCAGTGCGGCGTGATATCAAAGACTAAAATGCCTGTGTTTGAACTGGAGCTAACCTAGTGACCACTTTGTAAGCACCGCATTCGTAAGCATAAGATCCTGCCTAATGCGTGCGATTTTTGAAATCTTCGATATTCTGAAAACGGATACCATAAATTTGGCTTGCAGGACCTTGTAAAGAACACTTAATTGTACTGTTTGTACAATTTATTGATGTTTTAAGGAGTGGCTGATTCAATAGGGTTCTGTTGAAGGTACAAAGTAACAAACGGAATAATAACGTGTGATGGATGTACATACAATACATTGGAATATCGTACAATGCAGGTACAGATAAGTGGCCTTCTTGTATTAGTATGCTGTTCGTCTGTTTGTGTCTTTCGAATTTATAACAAAAATCTTTATAATCGAACTCCTCTAGCTTAAGCATTTCTACGCCATGGAAACGAAAAATTGCGAACGTAAAAAACTGTTCTGTATGGTGAAAAAAACTTTGTGTGCTTCTGTAAAATGATAACCACGCATTTTCCTTTTGATTACAGTGACCTTACAACACAGTACTCTGATACGAGAACTCCACGTTGATCTTCTCAGAGAACGACCCAGAATACTATGCATAATACTGACTGTAATGTGTTGAGTTAAAGGGCAGTACGACAATGACATCGTTCTTGTACTTTAATTTCTCCCCTTTCGACGGCCGCAAACCCCAACAGTTTGCCCCGAAACGCATGGAATCCACACCCACGTCGCCACTAGATCCCACCGTCTTATACACAAAGGTCTTTCTGTGATACTTCTCCAGGCTCCCACACGTTACCGTCTGTGTTTTCAACGGCAACACGGTATTTCCGGAACCGTCCGTCTGGTAGGCGTAGCATACGCCTCCTGGGTACGCCGCCACATTTGTTGCATTAGTATGTCCCGTGAAACACCAATCGCCACCCGCCACAAACGCACTCTCCAGCTGCTCGACACTGGCCAGCACCGCGTTGAGAACCTGACAGATACTGGCGGCTTCCGCCTTCGTAAACCGGGTGTAATCGGTCTTCGCCTTCACCAGAAACACTTCGTTGCTGGACTGTTTCTTGGAAAAGATGGAGGACATGTCACCGGGTCTGACGTCGACGAGCTTGATGGCGTCCGTCAACATGGAGGTCGCCACGCTGACCCGCAGGTTTGTGGTCGACAGCTCTGTCCCCACCTTAATATTCCCCGTGTTCATGCGTTTCACGTCCATCGGTTTGGGGACGAATTTCTCGCCTTTCCACGTGCTTTTCTTCTTGGCTTCCTGCAGGAGATGATTCAGCTGATCGACTTCTTTCTGGCTCATCTGCACCTTGCTGGTATCGTAACTCGCACCCACTCCGCCGCTTGCGTCGGCGTTACCTTTTGTCTTAAAGGTCAAGCCTAACTCGAACGAGAACCCTTTCGAGGTGGAACTCTCCACCTCATTTTTGAACCGGGATTTCGATTTTTCATCGAGTTGGGAGTACACATCGTTGGTCTCCTGGGTCACGCGGTCGGGGCGGCTGTTATCATCGCTCCAGAACACCGAATTCCATGTGTTGTTATCGAAATCTTTGGTGTTATTCGAGACGAACTGAAGCGCCTTGTTAATCAACGCCATTAGTGTGGGAGCGTTCTGTTCGGCGATGTAGTCCTCGTCTTCGATCTCCACACCCTGAATATTGTTGGCAATCTCCGTAGACAGCTTGTTGGCATCGTCGGATGTTAAGTACACCGGGTTCTTCTGCGGGAGCTTTTGGTTAATGGCTGCGTACATCGACGTCTGTTGCACATGCTCCGCTTTTACCGTGATACTTTTCCCGACACTGTGCTGTCCTTCTAAACTGTACTGTACGCGCAGATTCCAAATAAACGCACTGGGTGCTTCGCGGATGTTACCAGCGATCTCGTCGCAATCTGGTTGAGTCGGGCAGATCAAGCGAAAGATCACGTACTGCGGCTGACTGGCGTACGGTATCCACCGATCGATAAACCGGTATTTTCTGTTCAAACCCACTGGTTTAATCCGGATGCTCTCCACCGGGATGATGTTCAGGAGGAAATCTGTGGCTGTGTATTGTTGACGGATCTGTCGACGGATTTGCTCTTCAAAAGCCTGATTCCACATGAGCACGTACAGGCGGATTTCATACTGTTGTGTGAAGTAATTAAAAGTGACGTTGATTCGGCTTTCATCGAGAAAAAGCGCCGGTTGGTAGTAGAAGCGTACTATAGACGCGTTTTGGATGGTACTGTTGGACTGCTTGAAAATTAAGATGTTGTGGTGGGAGTAGTCGACAGTCATGACGTAGGTGTGGGTCACTTCGTAGCGGCCCCATGTTAGGGAGGATAGAGTACTGCCTGTCGATGCGGAAGTGTTAGCTGTAGGTGCAGGTACGTTCCCCGTTTCGCCAGCTACAAAACAAAACACATTTTCTTAGCAGAAATTCTGGCAATTCTGTTTCGCACCTGTATTGTGTTTGCGCAACATTTCGTGTAGTTACTTGTGGTGAAGCACAGATTAGGTCTACCTACCTAATCGAGTTATAAATTCTTTTGAAGAGCACCACAGAAAAAAGCGAGAATTAGATTGCAAAGAAATTACGCACCACGAACGCCAGCTTTCGGAAGAGGAGGCAGGCACTTGATCAGCTCGGACTTGTTGGCTGCTCCTGTAAAAAAAATATTAGCAGTACGGAGAAAAAAAAACAACCATCCAGCACGGCGCAATATCGGTTCACTTCCATCAGATAAAATAGTAATCATGTTCATCACATGGATATTATGAGCCACTGCCAACATGATATTAAAGGAAAGCGCATTCCGGGAAAACATCCTTTTTTAAGCCTGCGTGATAAAATAAAGAAGCGGAAACTTACCTTTTGCAGCTCGGACATTCCAAATTCCATGCGTCCCAGAATATATGACTAATCCCAGAAGCACTGCATTTAAAGCTATTGCAATTGCAACAGCAATATGTGCAGGATTGAGTACAACAGACTTATTAATTTCTACCATGTAAACTGTATTACAACTCAGACGAGAATGCGAAAGAAAAATAAGAAGAAGCGTTCGGAGTACGGCATATATCGGTTTTGCAGCTCATTGGCACGATAGAATCGTAAGCCACAGTAATTCAAAGGTCAAATAAGAATCTGCAAAATAATTCCAATATTTTTCTTCCTTTATTTATTTCTATTTATTTAGTACTTCATTTTTCAGTTCACGGCACGCCACTTCCACAGTACTCACATCTAATGTACCATGGAAACTGTAGAGCGTGAGTTTATTCGCGGACTCTTCTGTAAAGGTGAACCCAAGTGCTTATCTCAGCCCGCAAACAGCGGTATTCCCTGTTATGCATAAACTACGTATTCTTCTTCGGTTAATTCGTTTTAGTTTCTCCGATGTCTCCCTGAATTCATCTGCCAAGAGAGAGTTTGCAACGCTTAGGGAGACGACCGAACATGTTTGTTTTTAGATCAGTCGCAGAACTTCTCCGCACGGCCTACCTAGACCAACGATGATGGAGTGGTTATGGAGTCCGTGGTTCATGTTATGTATGCTGGTTTTCCAAGGTTAGCCAGCTGCTTTCATAAATTGGCTAAAAGAGGATCTACTTGTTGCTTTTTGCATTACAACATAATTAGGTCGCATGTCGAACTACTTCAGGCACTACCGGTGACAAAGAACCACTGCAATGTTATTCCTGCAGCGGTACAACGGCTGAATGTCGGGACGCGCAAGAGCATGTTCTGAAAACGTGCGATCCGGCGGCAACGTCCTGCGTCAGTATGCGGCATTTCAATCAGCCGCTAAATTTTAAAACTCATGCCATTGGTACGTATTAGACCCGAAAGCATCGCCCTGCGGTCTTGAGAAGTTTTTTTTCCATAATACCAGAATCAACCAGTAGCTTTCACAATTATTTTAAGTTATGTGCTTGCAAGGTCTCTTCTGTCCACAGATTCAGTGTACTATTATCGAGATTGTGCTGGGGATTTCTTCAGTCGTGTTTGGTTAGATGCTTCCGACAGGACACGAACACTGACTGAGGCTGAAGTTCTGATGTGTGCAACCAACAAATGTAACGGGAAAAGCAAAGTCCCGGTGCAGTATGCTACGATGGCAACACCACCACCAAATACTACCACTACGACGTCATCAGGCACGACAGACAGCCGATGTCCCTAAAGGTTAAAGCAACATCAGCTGGTTTAGCCGTGTAAATAGAATGTTCTTGAATTTAAAGGACTTTCGCGGCGCTCCGGTCGATTCAGAATGTTTTGAAAAATCTGATTGTTTCAGCAAACAATTCGTCAGATTATTAAAACAGATGCAGTGGTACTCACAGTTATTATCATAAACTACAGAACAACTGCCGAGCTTGACGCAAATGAATTTACTGTCCGAAAGTTCTCGCAATGCAAAATTAGAATCAAGCAAAACTGAATGATTATAATTGGTTTTCTTGAGTGAGTTTGCCGAGAAGTGGTTGATATACTCGTACATTGTTTATTGTTTATAAAATTCGAGATATGGCTTTACAATGTTCGTGCTTTGCGTTCGAGAGGAAGAGAAATTACTCATATGCATTCATGAAGACACAGCACTTAAGTTCAGGTTTACCATAAGGAGTACGCATACCACAAACTGCAATTCAAAAGTGTGATTGAATCAGCTACCACGAGTTTTAAGGTAAAGAAGCAGATGCAAACGGCAGAACATAATTTTGCGATCTACCCAGGAAAACTTAAAACACTGAATGATTAATACGTGCGGAATTAAGCCAAGTGAGCCGTTGCATTAGTTCTCCTTATCATCTTGCCAGTTCTGTACAGGTACTCACCAATGGATCTCTAAACAGTTTACAACCCCTCTGAGAAGCAGTATCCAAATAGCAATCCGTCCCGTGCATGGTCCAGAGTATGATGACACCATCGGAGCCGGTGCTACAATGGCATTTTGGCATGATACTTATGATACAAAGAAACAAATGCATTCGAAAAATTATTTGATGAGAAGTTTACTGTTTGTGCTCGTCGATTCTGAAAAATTGTGAATGTACGAGTGAAAAAGCCAAGTTTATGAGTTTTCAGCGGAAGCGTTCAGTTTTCGGTTTTCAGCAGATTTATCAGAAACCTCGATCGCTGAGGTCCCGACTGGAACTGCGTAAAAGTAATTACCAGCAAATGTGCCTAGATACTTTCTCGTAAAGGCATTGTATCCAACAGGAGGTCCGGGAACGCCAAACCGGCATTCCACCATCCAGTCGTTAAAAATTACTTACTTATCCTGCTAATCACTGGCATGGCGTTGTAAACCGCTACGCTACTGAGCAGGATATAAAAAATGCCTACATGAATGGGGTGCCCAAAAATCAGTGGCTCTAAGCAGCCAGAAAGATATTGATAATTAGCCGGTTAAAATGCTACACAAACTTAAAATGATAAAATTGGTGTACATACTGACCAGAGTTGTTGAGCGCTGTGCAACGGCATAGGTTATTTGTTTGGTTATTACTGTCTGATGATTCAGCTGCAACTGGTCAACCGTAGTCAGCAAAAACACCGACCCGGTTATAAAAATAGTGGTTTGATAATTAAGTGGTTTGATTATGATCTGGAATACTGCGTACCAGCTTTAGGAAAGGCGTTGCACAAATTCGTATCACAGCGACATCCTGTACCATTGGCTTCCCGACCTCTAAACGGTCCACATTTCCTTTCCTTTTTATCAGCCCATGGCTCCGAACAATATTGCATGTCATACCGAAATGTACTCGCTGAAAATTAAAAGCCTCCTAACACTGCTGTTCAAATATGTAACACCAAAAAGGAGTGCATGACCATTAGCGCTAAACCGACAAGTCCACCGGAAATTAATCTGGTAGCACTCCTGTAGGCACTTTACCATCAATAACGCACAGAAGTTATTGGGAACGCTCTTACTGGTAGCCCTTTCTGTAATGCTTCGAACAGGCTTTTAGACTTCTTGAATAAATCTCGTATTTTGGGTTTCATTGTGAATGGAGTTTTCCCTGATTCGACGAGAAAAGTTTCCCGCGAGCAAAAAGTTCTGCCTAAGAAACACTTTACCATTACTATCGCTACTAGTACCAGTAGCAGTAATTAGTAAGTACTACCCAAATCAGTTTCGGAGCAGTTGATTATTTTTTTAACGAAAGGTTGACATTATTTTAGAAAGCGTGCCACATAAATTATATGAACCACAAAACAGCACCTAGAGTAGAGATCCACGTTGGGTAAGGATACGGCGATATAGCATAGGATACCGCAAGAATACAGCGATACACATTGGATACCGTAAGGATACAGGATGACACAGCGATAGAGCATCAGATACAGTAAGGATACAGCGATACAGCACTGGATACCGCAAGTATACAGAGATACAGCTTTAGATACCGGTAGAATACAGGATGATACAGCGATAGAGCATTGGATACAGTGGTGATACAGCGATACAGCATAGGATACCGTAAGAATACAGCGATACACATTGGATACCGTAAGGATACAGGATGACACAGCGATAGAGCATCAGATACAGTAAGGATACAGCGATACAGCACTGGATACCGCAAGTATACAGAGATACAGCTTTAGATACCGGTAGAATACAGGATGATACAGCGATAGAGCATTGGATACAGTGGTGATACAGCGATGGCATAGGATACCGTAAGAATACAGCGATACACATTGGATACCGTAAGGATACAGGATGACACAGCGATAGAGCATCAGATACAGTAAGGATACAGCGATACAGCACTGGATACCGCAAGTATACAGAGATACAGCTTTAGATACCGGTAGAATACAGGATGATACAGCGATAGAGCATTGGATACAGTGGTGATACAGCGATACAGCATAGGATACCGTAAGAATACAGCGATACACATTGAATACCGTAAGGATACGGCGACACGGCATAGGATACCGAATAGAGCGATACACATTGGATACCGTAAGGGTGCAGCGTTACAGCACTGGATACCGTAAGAATACAGCGATACACATCGGATACCGCATGGATACAGGGATACTTCGCTTTGACAAATTTTTTTCGAACGGTTGCACTGTACGAATCAACATTTCTAACACCTAACACACACATTTACCCGTGTTGGTCTCAGCGCATTCAATCAGCTTACATGCTACATGCTGCAGCCTACGTGACTCTAGCCGCATTTCAATCAGTCTTTAGCCTGTTCAAGTAGTCGCCCGCTAGAGTGGCTGTGAATTTGGCGGAGTGTCAGAAATATTGATTCGTACAGTGCAAAGGTTCGAAATATTGGTCAAAGCGAAGTACATCATTAGATACCGACGCATACCGTAAAGATACAGGATAATGATGCGATGCAGCATAAGATACATTGCGGACACAGCGATACAGTACATGAGTATTGCATACCGTAAGGATGCAGTACTCTAGTTAGAAATCGCAATGGCTTTTCGGGTCCTAATATCTAGAGCCGGTAGGATACTGCGCACTGGTATCCTGTCTGTACCTTGCGGCCAGACCTGTGCCCTAACTTAGAGACGGCAACGGCTGGCTTAACGGCTTATCGGCTGGCTGCGGCTGGTTAAAATGGCGAGCCGGCTCCTAAGTATCGGCTCACCCCCCTGAGCCGGCTCAAACGGCTCGGCTTCAGACGCGAGCCGGCTAAGCCGGTTCCGGCTTAGCCGATAGCTTTTTTCTGCGGGGAAAAACGCAAGCATTTCAATTGAAAGCAAAGCTTTCGTGCTTTTCCCTCTTTTTTATGAAAAAAACTGCTTTTGACCAATTTTTAGTGGAGAAAACGTAACGATCTCTTACACGAAAACTGAGTGCTTTTTCATAAGATTACCAAGTTTCAAGCATCCGAAAGAGCTAAAATTTTACTTTCTAATTTAAAGTAAAATTAGAAAGTAATATTTCTAATTTCATTTTCTAATTAGAAATTTCTCTACTTAGAAATTTCTGATTAGAAATTTCTACTAATTCCAATTAGTAAAAATTTCTCTACAATGCGCAAGCCGTTAGCCGACAGCGGCTTACGGCAGGCTGAGACTCTGAGCCGGCTCAATCGGCTCGGCAAGCATCGGCTACGGCTACAATTTGGGGTTGAGGCGGCTCAGCCGAAGCCGGCTTAGCCGCGGCTCAAACGGCTTCGGCTGAGGCCTTGCCAGACCTGCGCCCGGACTGAGGTATTCTATGGCAGTTTGGGTGGCGAAATAACCTAGGGCCGATTTGCCGCAGTTTGAAGATTAGATGTTTGAGTGAGCGTGCATTGTATTATGGAATCTCGTGAATGCCCAACTGTTATGGACTCAGCAACGGAAGTTGCAACGTGAATGCTATTGTTATGACTGCGCTATAGTTGATTGTCTGTACGCCCAGTTAAAAGTTAATATTAACATAGAATATTACCGCGTTATTTCGCAGAGATACTTTGTTCTTTTCTTTAATACCTAAAAATTCAAAATTCTTCAAATGATTTTTTAACTTTCTTCGATTTCCCAAATATCGTGTTCGATTTGTTTTGGATTTCTTAGATTTCAGGACCCCAAAGGCCCAAACATTGCAAAATACTCAACGCATAACCTGCGACCCAACTGCCATAAAAGTAAAGGGGTGCGACTGAATGCCTAAAAAGGCTAATTTGCCGACCATAATGTGACAAAATGACCACTTGCGCTTATGAAATTGAAGCCGCGGCGTGAGGTGAACCTGCTCGAACGTAAATACTGGGCTAGCAAAATCGTCTCTTAATTTCACGAAAATACAATTCTTACACAAAACAACTTCATCAGGCGAGAAGATCATGCCACTTACTTCCTGTATAAAATAACGTTACGTTTTCACAGCTGGTTATGCCTGGATTACATTCCGTGGAATTGCTGTTAAGACAGTTCGTTCTTTTGTCTTTCCATGCCTCAAAATTTGGAACGTCTCCGCTCACGTACAGGCAGTGGTAACATTTGATCGCTTCTCCTAAACATAATGCTTGCTTTATAAAGAAAGTGAAAGTCGGTGAAGGTGGGTGCCGACGCCGTGCCGTAAGCAAATTTGTCGTTAGTAACACAAACGGTGTTAAATTTGCTGTGCTGCTAGCATGCGCTTGCCGCCTTGTGCATTTGTTTTACAGGGAGGCGTTTTATTTTCAGGCGCACATACAGAGTACTCTGTATGAACTGTGAGCCCGCTGAGATTGATATACGGCAAACAGTGCCGTACTGCTTGCACCGCATAAAAGTCTGGGCAAGTACAGGCCAGCAGCTATTACGCAAAACGTTGTACAGTACGGTACTATGAATTACTCGTAGCCAAGATACAGCACCCGCATAAGTACTGTATATTACTGCAACTTATTCTGTTTTTTTCTATCTTTCAAAAAAACTCTGCTTAATGTCAGATGTGACACGGAAGCAGAGCGAAAAATGGGGGGCAAAATATGCCTTTATTGTGATAACAATAAAGCAACCACAAAACAACACAGAAATGCCAATGCGGCGTATGCTGTGGAAAAGTAGCTGCGAGCGCGCAAGTCGGTAAAAGTGTACTGATGCAGCGTGCTGCAGGTATGCAACAGCTGATGCCGTAAAGCATGGAATCGCTCGTAGGCGCTGGGCTACGCCCCCAAGAGTGCGGAAATGCGCTGATTGGTCAGCGTAGACAAAGTATACGCTGAGTGAGCAGCGTAATAGCGCGGCACGAATGGAGTAGCCGTGCGCGGGCGGGCGACAGAGCAAAGCCACAAGAGGTGTCTACCGCCTCGAGTGTGCGGTCTCTGACATGCCTCTGGGCGGGAGTGGGAGCTCCTCCTCCTCCTGCGTTTCCGACTCTGCCCCTGGCCAACCCGGTAGGGTGCCAGGATCCGATACCCGGTAGGGCCGGATGCCACTTTGTCTCCAAACCCGGTAGGGTCGGTCGCTCCAGACCCGCGGTGCAGTGCACCGAACGGCCGAAATCTGGAGTGCACTCTGGTTGCTGGGGGTTCCGGTGTGGTTGAAGGCTTGCTTTGGTCGAACAAGTAAAAAAATAAAGTTTATAAGGCTCATAGGTTAAACATTGAAATAGAAAAATCACAATTTCAGTGAGAATTAGAGTAAAGATCATAGTTAGAGATCCCAAAGCCAATTCCTTTGGTTAATGGCTAAATAAAAACATCAATTTCTTTGGTTAATAAAGTCTAGAAAAACCAGGTATGGTTAAAAAACTAGACAAAAATGGCTTATTCCGACTAGGTTTACCACAGGGCCAAGCTTGTCCACAGGGGTCCTAGTCAACGGTCCGCTGTATCCGTTAGGATTGTTCTGGTCCTGTGAATCCGGGGCGACGGTTCCCAGAGATGTCCACAGGGGTCCAGTAGAGTAAGTCCAGCGGTGCGGTATATGGAAGGCACGGTTGCATGCGCAAGGACAAGTTGTCCCCTTCCTTGTTAATGTATGGTGGACCAAGCCCGGTTGGGCGGTCCATGATGGGCCAGAGTGATGCCTCTGGACAGGAGAGGTGCCTTTGTGACCAAATTAGTGTGCTTGGACCAATTCCGTTAGGATGGCCATGCTTTGGTCTGACGTGCCTCTGTTGGACCTGACCCGTTAGGGTTGTCCCTGATGTAACGGGAGTGGGAGTCCTGTCGGAATCCTTCCCAATGGCCAAAATTAGTGCTTTGGACCAGTCCCGTTAGGGCGGTCCATTTTGGTCGGGTTTGGCCCTGCATGCCGGTTTGGTCATGCGCCTCGGGCCAAAAATCTTCTAAGTCCAGGAGGGCCATAATGGAAAAATTTTCTAAGTCCCAGGACCGAGATGATGTGATGGATCAAACCCGTTAGGGCGGTCCAAACTCGGTCTCTGACATGCTCTGGGCCGGGATACGAGGTTCCATTGTGATTTGGCTCGCCTCCGGCTGGTGTGGGACGTTGGGGTCCTGTATGTCCAGGTTTGGCCCTCGGATGTGGACTTAGTCGTTTTTTGATGAGCCACGTCGTTGGACGGGCCAAAAAACTTAGAAAATTTTCAGTGGGCCACGTCGTTGGACGGGCCAAAAGACTTAGCCGATTTTTGGTGGGCCACGTCGTTGGACGGGCCAAAAGGACTTAGTCGTTTTTTCGACGGTCCAAGGTGTATGGCGGGCCAAAAGGACTTAGTCGTTTTTTCGACGGTCCAAGGTGTATGCCGGGCCAAAAGGACTTAGTCGTTTTTTCGACGGTCCAAGGTTGATGGCGGGCCAAAGTCGGTCCGTCTCACTGGCCGTGGGCCATGAGTTGGCTACCATGTCCGATGAGTCAGGTAGGTTTCCCTGAGACCGTGGCCATAACAAAATTAAGTTGCGTCTGACGAAAACATCAGGTTGGCCTGGCCAAACTCCAATAAATTAAGTTGTGGGCGCCGGTAGGCGTTTACCACAAGGGAGTTGGTCTTCTGACTAGGAACATCCTCATTTGGCCTCGGGGCGGTGCATCTGTTGGATGAGCCTCTAGGCGGTCCATGGTGAGGATGTTGAACATGGCATGCAAAGGGTATACCACAACTTCTATGTGGCTCCCAAACTCACTTGTCCCAATGCCTGGTATGGCAATTAGACTCGTGAGCCGCATATGGTCCGTTGGACACACAGCGGGCCTGGTCCAACTTCTATGGGCCAGGACTTGATCCACGGCTTTGTCGCAACTTCTATGCGGGCCGTCGCCGCCTTGTGGGCGCTGGATCCTTTCCATGCCGGGGAACTTAGCTCGCGCCAGGTTCGGTCCGGTGGACTCCGTCGGATGGTCTGGGATGGCCGAGCCAAATTCATGGTCCCAACCGCTAAGCCAGAGCCAATCCGGGGAATCCGGTTAAGATCCAGGGATTAAGGTCCGGTGAGGTAAACGATACATGGCCGTAAGCCACGTTTGTTGGGTGAGGGCTACAACCGTTAGATTGTACCCATCATGTTGTTAAAATCCGATCCAGCCGATGCCGGTCCACTTCTAGGGCCGACGTGCAGGAATGGCTGTTAGCCTATTACTGCCCTCCTTTTCCGGCCTGGTCGCCGTCGCCTGGCCCAGGGTTGAGCGGGTCGACGACGCTTTCTTCCATGGCCGCCAGTTCCTGTTCGGTCTGGTTATCTTGTGGTTGGCTGGAGGCGCTGGTCGGCTGAGCTTCTTGGCCAGAGTTTGCGGCCTGAGTCTGGACGTGTGCGGACGATCCTGTTGAGGATCGCTGAGTACGAAACTTCGTTGGAAGTTTCCGTGTTGCCGTTCGGTTAACGAACGCTTCCGCAGCATCGTCGAAGTCCGTTGGCTGTCGGTAGCGGTAATCTTTGGCGCGGCTCCTGAAAATATTCAGGGCGCTCTGGATTTTGACTCCCGCTTCGACTTCATGAATTTGGTTCCCCAGAAGGGCCACCTGGGTCAATAGCCGGGGGACGATTTTCCCTTGCCGGTAGGCAACTTCGAGTTCCCAGTGGCAGTGTAGGTGGCCGAGTCTGGCGGCAAAGATGCGTATCATCGTGCCGTTATAAGAGTAAGTTTGTGTCTCTGGATCATCCCTGTGGTCAGCCGGTTTGCACGGGATGTCTATGGCAGCTCTGCAAGCTGCGATGATGAAACTGGCGTTTGCGTCCGGTAGGACAAACTGGGCCAGGTATTTGACGACGTCAAGTTGGTCGTCCTTAATGTGCAATTGGCACAAGTCGTTCCAGTCCGGTCTGGTGATGGGCTGTCCGAGTAAGTTTACGTCCGTAATGCTCGATAGAGCATTGTCACGGACCATAGGGTAGCCCTCACGGTTTTCTATGTGTTCCGCCATGTTGAAATCACGGGGCCACTCCTTTTTCTGCATTTCCATTTCGCGTCCGGACCGGATGACGAAAGTTTGTAGATTCTGGACCATGGCGTTGACCTGAGCCCGTCTGTCCCTCGGGTACGGGATGGCTCTCATGATGTAATCCGTCACCTCCCGGTGGGGAAGTGGTAGGATATTGATGCCTTGGTCCTCGGCATATTTATAAGGATCAAAGTCCGTAGCACTCACGCTTGCGTCTTGTCGGGCCGGTGGGTCCGATGACGGCGGTGCGGACTCTGTCTCCATCGGGATCTGGACGCTAATATTATGGGCCACCGAGCTGACATTTCGTTCTGATCGCTTGGTGGTCTGAGCGACAACCAGGCTGGACTCCGCCTCGCTCCGCTTTCCGGGTGATGTGCGCGTTCGGCGCTCCTCGGGCTGGCTACGACTTTGGCGGCCAGTTTGACCCTGGTTGCGGCTCTGAATTTGGTGGCGTAAGTCATCTGGGTTCCCCGGTAGCGGTGCCAGTGGCGCGTGTTGCTCAGTACGCGCTGGCTGGTATTGGCCTTTTAAGGCATCCAGCAATCCACCCTCCATCAGTTGCTTGGCCACCTGGTCAACCATAGCTTTGTTGATGTTTTCGAGAATCTGGTTGTATTCCATAGGTCTAGGCATCTCATATCCGTAGGATTGAGAGCCTGACGATGGCCGCTGCTGGTGTCCATGAGTTTATGGGGTGGCCGTTGGGCCACGCCCTGAGGACTGGTCAGAACCCGAGTGACGGGCTCAAGGTTCACGGTCCCGTTCCTCCTTTTTGTCTCGAGCCGATTGGCTGAGTGGAGGGATCGGAGTTCCGGTGCTGCTCCAGCCAGGTTGTCGGGCGCCACTGCGTTGCATGTAGAGATCGTAGATCTCTATCTGCTCATGGTCCCTCAGTAAGGGGAACAGATGGCTTCCATCACGGCTGGTCATGTGGCAGTATGCGTCGAAATTGCCTCTGACCACTTCTAGGTAGAAGCAGTAGGCTCGGTCATTCTCATCGCGGAAGCCCGGTCGCAGGTGGTATGCGCAGGGGAACAACTCCCGTGAGGAATTGTCCCGGCGATTAGAATGTGTCAAGTTATCGCCGCTGTTGCGTCTGCAGTCCGAGCATCGCGGTTCATACTTCTGCTGCGGTGTAAGTCCCATTCTCTGTGGTAACAGAAATGAAACTTGCAGAATGG